CCGCCCCCGGCCCCGTTGATGTACTTTCTATATAAGAATGAATATGAGACATTCAAACCTGTTGAAAGCAGAATAATGGAGGGGATGCACCAATCCAGATTATAAAACATACACACACACACACACATATACATATATATGTATATCACAGTGAAACTCCCTATATAGCCATCATAAACAAACAAAAAATGTCTCTAAAAAATGAAGGACAGGAAGGTAAAAGAAGTCTGTTTGGGGACTGGTACCAGTTGGTGGGGGCGGCATAAGGAAAGGATGAAGGAGGGCGAATATGATGGAGGCACTATGTGTTCATGTATGAAGGTAGAACAATGGACCTGTTGAAACTGTTCTAAGAAGGGGGGAGGGGAGATGAAAGAGAAAGATGGAGGGGGTGATCGAAGTAAGATATATTGTAAGCACTTTTGTAAATGTCACAGTGCACCCCTGGTATAACTATAATATGCTAATAAATGAAAGAAAGAAAGAAAGAAAAAAGTGAGACATGAAAATAAAAGAATGACTACATAAATAAGGCATGAGTCACACAGAGAGAAGCCCAAGGGACGCCTTGTTTAAGGTTTTCAATCTTCCTTCAACCCCTGGAACAGATTCTCCCTCTGAGAGCATGAGCTGGGTTTCTGAGTGCCAAATGTCCCAAAATTTGCTATCTAGAGGGAAAGACAGACATTAAAACAAAATTTCCAGCCTGGCACAGTGGCATATATCTATAATCCCAGCACTGGGGAGGCTGAAGCAGGAGGATCAGAATTCAAGGCCTGCCTGACCTATATACTAATGTCTTCTCGAAAAAAAAAAAGTTTCATAATCACTTTGGCAGTGTGTTGCAGGAAATTATAATACAGCATACTAGTAATCCAATCTAGAGAGATCAAAGTGCAAGTTCTTCCTTAAATTGATCCACAGCTAGAGCAAAGAAAATTCTGCTGAAAGATTGCCTGTGTTTATAGTCCAAGAGAACCCAAGTAGATGCCAGATGACAGCTGAAAAAACTGGTGGTTCTAGCTGGGTGCCAGTGGCTCATGCCTGTAATTTTAGCTACTCGAGAGTCAGAGATCAGGAGGATCTCCACTAGAGGCCAGCCTGGACACATACTTCTTGAGACCCTATCTCGAAAATACTCAACACAAAAAGGGCCAGCCTCAACTATCTTTAAATTGATATACAGATATAATACAATTCCTATCAAAATCCTAATAAGACTTTTGTAGATACAGATAAGATTATTTTAAAATTTATATGGGCTGGGAGTGGTAATTTATGCCTGCAATCCCAGCTACTCAGGAACCAAAGATCAGGAAGATAACAGTTTGAGGTCAGCCCAGTCAAAAAATTAGCAAGATCCCATCTCAACAAACAAGCTGGGCATGGTGACACAATTCTGTAAACCCAGCCACACAGTAGGCTGTGTGCAGAAGGGTCTCTAATTGAAGTTGGCCCTGGAGAAACGCATGAGACCTAATCTGAAAAACAATTGAAAACTAAAAAGGAGCCAGGCTCTGGTGGCTCACTCCTGTAATCCTAGCTACTTGGAAGGCTGACATCAGGAGGATCACAGTTTGAGGCCAGCTCAGGTAAATAGTTAGCAAGACCCCATCTCCAAAATATAGCCAGAGCAAAATGGACTGGAGATGTGGCTCAAGCGGTACAGTGCCTGTTTTGCACGTTTGAAGCCCTGGGTCCAAATCCCAGTTCCATAAGTAAATAAACAGACAGACAAATAACTAAATAGGAAAAAAAAAAACCCACTAAAAGGGCTGGGGTAGTGGTGCAAGTAGCAGAGCACCTGTTTAGCAAATGTGAGCCGAGTTCAAACTCCAGTTTAAAAAAATTTATCTGGAAAGGCAAAGATAATAGAATAGCCAAAACAAATTTTTAACTTTTTAAAATTTATTAGCATATAATAATTATACAGGGGGCTCATTGTGACTTTTACCTATGTATTTACAATGTATGTCTTTCTTTCTTTTTTTTTTTGGTGGGATTGACGTTTGAACTCAGGACTTCTCACTTGCAAAGCAGATACCCTACTGCTTGAGCCACACCTCCAGTCCATTTGGCTCTGGTTGTTTTGGAAATAGTCTTGAGAACTATTTGCCTGGGCTGGCCTCGAACCTTGATCTTTCTGATCTCAGCTTCCCAAGTAGCTAGGATTACAGGCGTGAGCCACTGGCACCTGGCCCTTATAATGTATCTTATTCAGATTCACCCTCCACCATATTTCTTCATCCTCCTTCCCCTTCCCCTCCTTAGAACAATTCTAACATGTTTCACTGCTCCACTTTCATACATGTATGCAAAGTACATCCACCATATTCACCCTCCTTCACTCTGCATTTAGTCTTCCTTCCCACTGGTATCCATCCCTGACAGGACCTGTTTTGCCTTCCTGTCCTTCATTTTTTTTTAAGTGTATATTCATTGTTCAAGGAGGTCTTGCCTTGGTATTTCACATATAGCTAAAACAAATTTTAAAAGAAGAATAAAGTGAGAGGAATCAGTCTATCTAATTTTAAAAGTAATTACATAGTTGGAATAATCAAGACTGTGTGGTATTGGTGGAAGGACAGACACATTGATCAGTGGACAGACTGGAAAACCCAGAAACAGACTGATAAAATTATTGCTAACTAATTCTGACAAAGGTACAGAAGTAATTCAATGGGAAGAAGATACTCTTTGCAACAGCGGTATAGGAACTGAACATTCATAAGCACAAACAAAGCAAAACAAAATGCCTTGATTTTAAAAGTAAAATATAAAATCAAGTTTTATCAAAAAGCATGGGAGAAAATTTAGGCAAAATTATTAGAGCTGACACCAAAAGCACAATCCATAAAAGGAAAAATGATATATTTGACTTGACTGGGAGAAAATACGTACAAACCATATATCAAATAAACTTATAGATTTTAGAATGTATTAAGAACGTTCCTTCTTTCTCAGTTTAGGAGGGCAGTCCTAAGAACAGGGCTGGCTCTTAAAGGCATGAGAGGACAATTTAAGAAGGAAAAAAAGAATGCTCCTGCCAGGTGCCAGTGGATCACGCCTATAATCTTAGCTACTAGGAAGATTGAGAGCAATAGGATAGAGGTTTGAGGCCAGCCTAGGCAAATAGTTCTCCAGACCCCCATCACCAAAATAACCAGAGCAAAATGAACTGGAGGTGTGGCTCAAGAGGTAGAGCACCTGCTTTGCAAGCTTGAAGGCCTGAATTCAGACCTGTGTGTCCCACCCAAAAAAATAAATAAAGCCATAATGAGATCACTACACATCTAGAATGACTAGAATATGACAACATCAAAGGCTGCAGAGAAACTGGGTCACTCATACATTGCTGGTGGGGTTGTAGAATGTTGTTACATGTGCTCTGGAAAACAGTTTGTCAACTTTTGGAGTTCAGGGCATGGTTCAAGTTTGCCTGGCAAACTTGAGGCCTTGAGTTCAACCCCCCCAGTACCACCAAAACAACAGTACTTAAAAAAAAAAAAGAATCCATTTGCCAGCATCACCCACCCCCACACACACCTCCTTCCAGTAACGGGATTGACCTGAGGGCCTTATGCCTGATAGGCAAGAATTCTACCACTTGATCTACACCTTCTTTTGTTTTTATTTTGCCCAGTCTCCTGCCTCCACACCTCGAGTAGCTGGGATTATAGATATGCACACCATGTCTGGCCAGTTTATCAGTTTCTTAAAGTGAATATGCAACCAACATATGACATAGAAACTGTGGCCAGATAGGCATGATAGCACTGCCTGCAGGCCTGCCAGCAGATACAACAATGATCCTCTTCTGGTGAGAATTCCCTGGTCACCTTATCCAAGGCTTTCCTGGTGTCTTTCACTCATTCACCTCACCAACTGTACCTAGATCAAAGCAAGCTGACCAAGTTCAATTTACAGTCTGAAGGAATCCTGCTAGTGCTGGAGGAGAAAGAGAGAGAGAGAGAGAGAGAGAGAGAGCCAGCAAGCGCTAGGCTACCACTGAGCCACACCCCCAGCTCCTGAGCATGGAGATTTTAATAAGTGATAAAAGTATAAATGTTCAGGGCTGGAGCATAGGTCAAGTCAGAGCGCCTGCCTAGCAAGCTTGAAGCCCTGAGTTCAAACTCCAGTTCTGCCAAAAATAAAGTATAAATGTTCAACTTTGTAATAAATAAACTTGAATGCCTACACAAAACATGATACTATTAGAAAATATAAATTACCAAAATTGACTCAAGAAGTACAAGAATGCCAGGCGCCTGTAGCTTGTACCTGTAATCCCAGCTACTCAGCAGACAGAGATCAGCAGGATCACATTTTGAAGCCAGCTGGGGCAAAAAGTTCTTGAGACCCTATCTCAAAAAAAAACTTTCACAAAAAAAGGGCTGGTGGAGTGGTTCAAAGTGTAGGCCCTGACTTCAAACCCCAGTACCACCCAAAAAAAAGAACAGCATCAACAGAGCAATAATTAGGAATTAGAAAGGTATTCTAAGTGCTAGCTCCCAAACAGCAAGTCCAGATGGGTTTGATCAATTCCATCAACCTACATAGGACAGAAAATCCATATGATCTATAACTGTTCCAGAGAATAAAAAAAAATCAACTTATTTTATAGCACTGGTATAGCTCTGATCACAAAACAAAACAAACAGAAAAATGGACAAAGACCCCTCCCCAAAGAAATATATAGGCCATTCTTATTTTCTAACTTAAATGCACAAATTCCAAAAGCTAGGTATGGTGGTACATGCCTGTAATCCCAGCACTCAGGAGGTGGAGGCAGGAGAATCCTGAGTTCTAGGTAAGCCTAAGCTACATAATGAGACCCAGTCTCAAAAAAACAGCACAACAACAAAAATATGAGTAAGTCAACCCAGAATTACACTAAAAGAGTAATTCATATTGGCCAATTAGGGTTAATTGCAAACATTCAAAGATGCAGAGCTTGAATGAAAATGTGTTAATGTAATTTTGAACATTGACATTTGAAGAAGGTAAAACATAGGACCACTTCAGTAGGAGCCAAAGCATGTGAGCTTCTTTTCTGTTTGGAAAATTCTTCAACTTCAGAATCTTTGGAGAAGCAGAACATGCTTCCTATTTCAGAAGCTGATAATGCCTTCCCAGACATCCTTGCAGCTGGGTGACAGGCACGTGACCAATCAGGCTGACACCCAGACTTGAGTTAGGAGCTAGTATCACAAAGGAATAGGCATGAGATGGACGCTCTGCAGCAGGAGAGGTTGTGGCAACACGGACTTTCTGGCTCAGCAGCTAAAACAATGCAAATTGCAGTGACCTAGTCTTGCAGGAGCAGCAGTTTTGCTCACCAGACTGGTTCTGCAGCCTGGTTTTGGTCACTGTTGCTGGTTGCATAGCTCCATGTTTGGTCTTCCAGACTAGAAAAGTCTGTGCAGTAGCCAATTGTTTGGTTTTTTTTTTTTTTGAGACAGCTATGTTGCGTCTTGGTATGTTGCCTAGGTTGGTAATCAACTCCTGGATCCTACCACATCTGCCTCCTGAATATCTGAGACTAAAGACACATGCCACAGCACTTGGTTCTAGCCAATGTGTTTTAAATAAATTCCCTTTTTACCTAAGTTAGCAAGAACATTTTGTGTGGCTTACAACTGAAAACTCAAACTGATACCAATGCAAAATCAACATCATGGCTTCTCTATGTAAACTTCCACCTCACTTCCTGATACTGACTGCCTCATTTTCTCCAATTTCCTGATACTTTTTGCAGGTGGTAAATTATATAAATGACAAGTCTATGAATGAATTGTATCTGGCTCTAGTGACTACTCCTTGTCCAGTCACCAGCAGTAAGCAGATCAAGGCAGGCTCATGTGGTTACATGGTCCCCCTTCTGGAAAGCAGTAGGTGGGGTGGGGCATTCTTACCATTCAAAGGGTCAATGGCCCAACAGACATGGGGGCTGGATTTCTGAAACTGGCATCTAATTTCCAGAGGAAGAAATTCTGAGCTAGAACTTGCCAGGATAAGTAAGTGTTAGGCAAAAGGGGTAAGGAGTGAGAATTTCAGGCACAGGAAAGAGAATGATCAAGAGAGGATAGAGTAGCAAAAGATGGGGCTGCACAGGTAGGCAAAGTCTTATCTTGCAGGAGCCTGAAGGTCATATTAGGGACTTTAGATTTCTTTCTGAGAGCTGCAAAGAGTCAAGCATTGGTAGGATCAAACAGTAGAATGAGATTAGCAAATCTGCAGTTCAGTAAGCCACTCTGTTGGAAAATAGAAATCAGGAAGTTAAGAGAACAATGAGGAGGCTATTGCCCGAAAGTAGGAGAGAAGATGGTGGCCTGGACTAGGGGGCCATGCAGAGTAGAACTGAGAAACCAGAGATAAAACCAGAAGGACTCGGTTGGATATGGAGATGAAGGAGGAGAAGAGGTAGGGGTGGCTGATGACTACCAAGGATTTTGTACTGATGTAATCGTTAGGGGAGTGAGTAGATGATGGTACCATTCACCGGGTGGACAACATAGGAGGAGAAACCATTTGGATGAGCTCAGGTTTGAACATATTGTGTTTTTGCTTGGTTGATTTTGGTTTTTAGAGAAGGGTTTTGCTCAAACCTGCCAAGTAGGCCAGACTGGCCTCAAACTCATGATCCTTCTACGTCATCCTCCCAGGTGCCATGACTTCAATAGTGCGATACCATGTCTGGAAAAACATATTGTTTGTGCTTGTGGACATCAGAGGAGAGAAGTTCAAAAGGCAGTTGGACATGTGTTTGGGTCTCAGGAGAGGGATCTGCACTAAAGACTTGAGAGTCACTGGGTTAGAGGTCGTAGTTGAAGGCAAGGGAAAGGACAAATAGGATCCTAGGTACTTACTGAGCATAAAAATGAAGAAGACCTAAGAACAAATTTGGGGCTGGGGGAGGCTCCCAGCTGCTCAGGAAGGGCAGAGGAAAAGGAATCCCCAAAGGAGATCAAGAAGTCCCATGCAGATAGGTTAAGGGGAAAAGCAAGAAAATTACTGCCACTTATCATGAATCTCAAGGGAGAGTCCTAAGGAGGGAGTGGCCATGGGTATTCAGGCTACAAAAATCAAGTACAGTCAAATGGAGAAGTGTTGCATGGAGGGCGCTCTCAACCTTGGCAACAACCAGTCATGTAGTAGAGAGGAGAAATCAGCCAAGGCTGAGGAGAGAAGGCAGAAGGCGATGAGGAAGGGAGAATTAAAATTAGGCATCTCTGAGAATGTGGCTGTGGCAGGGGAGAGGGTGGCATGTGGAAAAGGATCTTTTCTGTTTTTTTTTTTTTTTTTTTGGTACTGGGGTTTGGACTCAAGGCCTTGCACTTGCTATGCAGGTGCTCTACCTCTCAAGCCATGCCTCCAGCCCCAGAGAAGTTTTTATAAAAGCTGGGAGAAGTTCGTGGTCGAAGGATTCCACCCCAGATCTTCCCAGTGTGGAAGGAAAGGCAACAGAGTAGAGCCAAAAGGAGAGCTTAGGGGAAAGTTGTGGAGGAAGGTGATAAGGGCTTGTGTCAGGGAGGAAGACTATTCCCTGGGTCACAGGAGTTCTTATCAGGCTGCATTTCCTCCCCATCCTCATCCCCTTCCTGCCCCTGGCCTGGTCCTCCTTGGAGTTGGAAGATAGAAAGACCAAGCCATACTCTGGAAGAAGCTCTGAGCCTACAGAGGTCTTTCTGGCTGCCAGTAAGCTGGGGTTCAGGTTGGGGTGGAGGAGGGTCTAAGTGAGGGATAGGAGCCAAGGACCTGGAGATAGTAGTTTAGGCTTTGGGGCAAGGGTGGGAGAGGGGAAGGTGTGGAAACTGAGTTTCTGGGAGAGGGATCATCCTAGGAGCTAGAGGGGCAGGGGCTGGATACTGGCAGAATGATGCCAGGGGCTGATGCAATGTCCACTGAAGCTCTCTTGTTCACAGGTCCCCATGCCTCTCCTCCTCTTGCTGCTTCTACTGCCAAGTCCATCACACCTCCATCTCATCTGTGATGTCTCCAAAGTGACCAGCAAGCTGGAAGTGAACTGTGATAACAAACAGCTAACAGCATTGCCTGTAGACCTGCCAACAGACACAGGCATCCTCCACCTGGGCAAGAACCACCTGGTTACCTTCTCCCTGGCATCCCTGGTTCATCTCACTCGCCTCACTCAATTGTACCTGGATCAATGCGAGCTGACGAGCCTGCAGACTGATGAGACACTGCCATTGGTAGAGACCCTGGACATATCTCACAATAAGTTGAAAAGCCTACCCTCTCTAGGGCGGGTACTGCCTGCACTCACTACCCTGGACGTCTCCTTCAACCAGCTGGTTTCCTTGTCTCCTGGTGCCCTGGATGGCCTAAGTCAACTCCATGAGCTCTACCTTCAAAACAATAAGCTGAAGACTCTTCCCCCTGAGCTCCTGGCACCCACAACCAGGCTGAGGAAGCTCAATCTGTCCAACAACAGGCTGGGTGAGCTGCCCTCTGGGCTCCTGGAAGGGCTAGGGGAGCTTGACACCCTCTACCTCCAAGGGAACTGGCTACGCACAATACCAAAGGGATTTTTTGGGGACCTCCTACTGCCTTTTGTTTTTCTCCATGGAAACTCCTGGTATTGTGACTGTACGATACTCTATTTCCGTCGCTGGCTGGAGGATAATACCAACAATGTCTACTTATGGAAGGAGGGTGCGGATGTTAAGGGCATGACCCCCAATGTAGCGAGTGTGCGATGCGTCAATTTGGGGAACATACCCATCTACACCTATCCAGGGAAGGGCTGTCCCTCCCCAGGAGATGCAGATGACCCAGAAGCCTATGATGAATATGATGATGTCACTGAAGGTGACATGGTACATGTTACAAAGACTGTGGTCAAGTTCTCTACCAACACCAAAGCCCAAACAACCCACTGGGGCTTACTCTACTCAGAGTCTACTGCTTCTCTAGACAGACAAATACCCTCTTTGTCTCCAACCCAAGAATCCACTGAGAAACAAACTCCATTCCCATCCAGACCTATCTCAGATTTCTCCACATTCCCATTGACCATGAAATCCACATTTTCCAGAAGTCCAAAGCTCACTACTGAACCCACCCCAACCCCAACCACCCCGGAGCCCACCACAACCCCGACCACCTCCACAACCCCGACCACCCCCACAACCCCGACCACCCCCACAACCCTGACCACCCCGGAGCCCACCACAACCCCGACCACCCCCACAACCCCGACCACCCCCACAACCCCGGCCACCCCCACAACCCCGACCACCCCCACAACCCCGGCCACCCCCACAACCCCGACCACCCCCACAACCCCAACCACCCCCACAACCCCGACCACCCGGAGCCCACCACAACCCCGACCACCCCCACAACCCCGACCACCCTGGAGCCCACCACAACCCCAACCACCCCCACAACCCCGACCACCCCGGAGCCCACCACAACCCCGACCACCCCGGAGCCCACCACAACTCTAATGACTCCTGAGTCTGCCACAACTCTCACAATCTCGGAGCCTACCTCAGCCTCAGCTACCCCAGAGCCCACCACAACCTTGACCCTTCCAGAACTGTTCTTTACCTCAGACCACACTTCACTTCCTACTACTTTAGAATCCATCATATCAATCATAACTGAACCTATCAACTTCCTAAAGGTCTATGGGGTGGCTCAAGAGAATTTTGATAGCTTCAGAAATGACCTTTTTCTCAACTCTGACTTCTGCTGCCTCCTCCCCCTGGGCTTCTATGTTTTGGGTCTCCTCTGGCTCCTGTTGGCCTCTGTGGTTCTCATCCTGCTGCTGACCTGGGTCTGGCATTTGGAGCCCCATGCCCTGGGCTCTGGCCAGTCTGTTGCCTTGGCCATATCCACACAAACCACACATCTAGAGGTCCAGAGGGGAAGGCAGGTGACTGTGCCCAGGGCCTGGCTACTCTTCCTTCAAGGGTCTCTCCCCACTTTCCGTTCTAGCCTTTTCCTGTGGGTGCGACCTAATGGCAGAGTGGGGCCTCTAGTAGCAGGACGGCGGCCCTCTGCCCTGAGTCAGGGTCGTGGTCAGGACCTGCTGGGCACAGTGGGCATTAGGTACTCTGGCCACAGTCTCTGAAGGCAAGTGGTTTTGGGGATCTTGAGAGGGGCTCTGACAGGCTCCCCTATAGGGATCTAGCTGAGGGGGTGGGTGGGTAAGGCACACAAGAAGTCTTATTTTTTTTTCCTTTGTCTGAAGCTCCCTTTCATATCCAGGCATACAATCCCAGACCCCAGAAATCAGTAGGGGTAGTGGGATGATGGAGTTGGGAGGGTCAGAGAACCAAGCTCCCTATACTACATGGAGGATTGCCAGGCTACACGGTTACTGCCATCACTTTAGGGAAGAATTTAAGAAAAGCAAATAAATGGAATAGTACATGGCTCTCACATGCATCTGTACGTCGAAGAAAATTTGGAAATTGATTTATCAAGAAGTGAGCATTAATTTTCTCGGGGTGTCATAAATGTGAATTTTTTCTCTGCTTAGCATTTCCAACTTTTCCATCATTGTATACTATTTGTATAATAAAAATAAGTTTTAAAAGAAGATGTATCTTCTTTTGGAGAAAAGTGGCTCAGGTTCCTGCTACAAGAATTCCCAAGGTCACCAGGTGCCAGTGGCTCACGCCTGTAGTCCTTGCTACTTGGGAGGATCACGGTTTGAGGGCAACCCAGACAAATAGATTGAGACACCCATCTCCAAAATAACCAGAGCAAAATGGACTGGAGGTGTGGCTCAAGTGGTAGAATGTCTGCTTTGCAAGTGTAAAACCCTGAGTTCAAACCCCAGTCCCACCAAAAAAAAAAAAAAAAAAGAAAGAAAAATCTTGTGTAAGGCAGTAATTTCAGGTCACAGAAATCAGGGGTTAATCCAAGTCTAGTTAGTGTTCAAGAGCAGTATGTCTAATATTTGGGCTGAAAAGACACGAGTTCCCAACTGCCCCCACCCTGGTCCCAAATACCTGATAAACCTTCAATCACAGCCAAACATGGGTGGGTCAGCACACAGGGTCACTTCCCACCTAAGGTGACTCCTCTCTGAAGACTAGGTACCCTGTTCCAGAATATTAAGTCTGGGGCTGAGCAACACTGCTGAGGCCTCCTACCTGCCCACAGCCTTAGCACTAAGGGAGGGAGGTGGAAGTCTGTCTACTCACTCCTGCAACCTCGGAAACAGAAATGAAGCTCTCCTCACTGCCCAGGTCAACAGGACAGTGGGAGGGTATGGGTCTGGCTGTGTGTGTCATCCAGTAGGTTTGACTGGTCTCAGGTTTCTGGCTCTCAAGCCAGGACACAGGCAAATGGAACCCTCTCCTGATTCTGACATTTCCTAACCACATTGGTGAGGTTTTCTCTCCTGCCTTGTGCTCAGCAGAATCTAGGGTTTGGGGTCCAAAGAATGGGAGTAAAGGCATCTTTCTTTCTTTGTTATAGGGCTGGGGTTTGAACTCTAGTCTTCACGCTTGCTAGGCAGATACTCTACCACTTTAAGCCATCCTACCAGCCCTGTTTTGTGTTGGGTATTTTGGAGATAGGGTTTCATAAACTATGTGCCTTGGGCTGGCTTCACACTGCGATCCTCCTGATCTCTGCTTCCTGGGTAGCTAGGATTACAGGTGTGAGCTACCAGTTTCCAGCAGGCTGCATCTTTCTGGTTCCATGTAGAACCCCTCCTCCAGGTGTTTCTAGAAGGATCTTCCTAAGTTGAGAATCTGACTCAATCTCTCTCCTGAATGCATCTCCCTCTCTGAATGCGTCTCTCTAGCTTAGCAATGGACTTCTCTGCATTGATTCTGCCAGTCCAGCTTCATCTCATGAAACATGTCACTATCTGTGCTTGAACCATTGTAAGCACCGTACAGACCACCAGGCATCAGCAGTGTTCCTTCTTTGAGCCTTTGCCCTCACTCAGGCCAAGAGTACTGCCCCTGTCATCCCCATCCACTTTCCCAACCTGACTGCTACTGTGTAGTCTCCCCTCCTAGGCTAGGCCTGGTGCATGGCCTATTGCTACAACCACTTCCCAACTGCTCCAGGGTTATCTTCCGGCTGTTTGAAACTGTTAAGGATGAGATCCAGGCCACAAGTGTCTCAAAGGAACCACTGTGGCCCAGGACACAGTGTACATGGAGGAGTAAGGACAGAGGCAGCAATAGGGATGCCAGGATGCTGAGCTCCACCTCTGGCTCTGTTGACAAGGCTCTGTCAAGGGGACCGCTCTAACATGCTATGTGCCACACCATGGCTGTCCAGTACCCCTCCTGGTTTAACTTTCTCAAGTCCCTTTATGCTCCAAGAGATTTTTGGTCTTTTTTTTGGGTCACTACTGGGGTTTGAACTCAGGGTCTTATACCTGCTAGGCAAGCACTCTACCACTCAAGCCATACTCCAGCCTACGAAGTGTATGGCTCCTTCAGGAGAGGGCCTGGAAACCACATTTCTCAAAAAAGTGGAGGAGGCAGCCACTCTCTCTGGCCAACAATCTCCCTTTAAGCCTTGGGTCTGCTGCAGGGCCCATCCCCATAAGTCCTGCCCCTCTACCTTCACCCCTGTAGCTCCAAGCTACAGGTCTGATTCAGTCTCTTTATCCCTTCATCCTCTCCCTCTTAAGTCTGCAAAGGTGGTCACTAATCGCAGAGGCTTTTTGTGGGGATTGTGTGAGATGATTTATGTGTCAGCTGCATTCTTGGGCAAGTGGCTTGGAAGCAACACAGGGCCTAGAGTTTTGGCTTCTTTGTCCTGTCAGCTGTCCTGGCACAACTAATTTACATAACATTTTCCTAAAACCAGCAGGTGCTTTTCTTTAGTAATTTCTCTTAAAAACTCCAGTTCCTGTTTCCAGGGACATCAGCTTCTTTGTCCAGTCTCCTCCCCTCCTAACTCCCACAACTCTCCAGATTTGGGGGTGGTGTCATCAATCCAATTTATTAAGTCCTCTGTGAAAGGGAAGAAAGCACATCCTCCCACTGAGGACCCTTTAACCATCCTGATAGCTTCTGCTCGATCCTGATAACTTAGCTCTCCCTTGGCTTCCTCACGGAGGAGGAGGATTTTATGCTGTCCTGTGTGCCCTGAAACTAATAACCAGGAAGGGACTAGAACTCCTCAGAGAGTTTCCCAGTTCCTCCAAGGAACAGCCAGGGACAGGCTGGTCATAAGAATCAGGCCAAGCAGGGCAAGCTGGAGCAGAAGGTAGAACAAACCAAAGTCCTTTACCACAAAGGAGGAAACCACACTGTGGAGGGGAAATAAATAGAAGGGCTGGGGGTGGCAGAGTCCAGGCCCTCCAGGGCGATGACTGCAGAGCAGTGGGTGACTGGGAGCCCCGGCGCACCAGCTCCAGGACCACTGCCACCTCAGCCACTGAGGAAGAGACGCTTGTAGGCCTTGTTCATCTGCTCCAAGAAGATGAAGGTGAGGACAGTATGGGGGCCCAGACGGGCATAGTATGGTGTGAAGCCCTTCCACAGGCTGAAGAAACCCTCATAGCGGATGACCTTCACCAGCACATCCTAGACAGACAGGGCAGGCAGAGTGCTGGAGCTAGGACCTGGTCTCTAGGGTTCCATCCCCTTTATCCATTTACCATCATAGCCCTCCCAAGGCATACACACTCGCCCAAGCCCCCTGCCCTGCTTCCTCACCAGCCCATTCTTGTATTCCGGCTTCCCATCGATCATTCGCATGTTCTGGATCCTGGAGAGGAAGTTGGGGCATGAGAGACAGAAAGGGGCCCTCCTATAGCTCTCCAGGCCCAGGCCTGCACACTCACCGGGTCTTGACAATGTCCACAGGCATGGAGGCGGCAGTGGTGACAAGGCCACTGATCATGCTGGCACAGAAGTGGCATAGGATATTGTCAGAGAAGTAGCCTGAGGGGTGAGGCAGAGGGTTAAAGTCAGATGGGAGGCAGCCCAGGCCAGGCTGGCTGGGAACTGAGGACCCAGCTCTGGGTCTCACCTGAGTCCAGTAAGAACTGCTTAGATTGGGAATAGGAGGCGAGCTGGGCAGCATTGACCACAACAGCCCGAGCCATGGTAGGGATGCAGCCCTGGAGGTGGGGAGTGAAGAAAGAGTCAGAAATGCCAGAGATCTGACCCCATTATCCCAAGTCCTCAACCTTCACTCACCCGCCACAGTGTGGGGACTCCCTCTTCCCTGGCAATTCGAATCAGGGCATTAAACACATTTTTGTATCCACGGCGCTGGTCAGCTGGAAGACTGGTGGGAGGGCAGGGAGAGGCCAAGATCAGGATAGTCCACAGTAGCAAGGGGAGGGCTGAACAGGTAAATATGCTAATCTAGGTCTGGGATTTTAAAAAACAAAACAAAACACAACAAAAAACGGTCCTCTCATTCTGGATTCTAGGAATGAGGCTGGGGTTAGGCTCAGACCTGGAACTCACCGGCCATCAGCGGTCATGCGAATAAGAGCCACCTCAGCTGGTGTTCCCACAAATGCACCAGTTGCACCTGCAGTCATGCCAATTAGGGCCTTCAGCAGAAAGCCAGGGGGTGTACCATCTGCCCCAGTCAGGCGCTCAAACAGCACAGTATAGATGCCAAGACGAGTAGTGGTGTACGTGGCCTGGCGAAGCAGGCCAGCAGACAGCCTGGGGAGCAGAGAGGTCAAATACGTCAGGCTAAAATCTGGGGCTGCCAACTCACACCCTCCCTTATGAACTCAAGACCCAGTACCCAGTGTAAATGCCCTTCATCCCTTCTGCCTTCAGGATGCTGGTGAGAGCATGGAAGCTGGTTTTGTACTCTCGAGTCTTGGCCCCTTCCCCACTCAGCTGCATCCGGTTCTTCACCAAGTCCAGAGGTTGCACAAAAACTGTAGCTCCCATCCTGGGGGGGGTGGGAAAGCAGGAGCAGAGTGAGAGGTCAGTTGTTCCAGATTTGGTAATACCTATTGGAGACTGGCAGCAAGAAATTACAAAGGTCAAGACCTATCATGTGGCTAAGGATTCAGGAGGCCGATGAGAGTATGTGTGCACCGAGAGCAGTGTGCCTGAATAGTTGTCTAGTAGGGGCCATGCAACTAAATGCCTCTGGCAGTTCCATGGAGGTCAAGCAGTAAGCTGGAACCACACGTAGTCAACCCAACGAGGGGAGAAAGGGGCATCCACGACTTGGGACTCCCGGTAGTCCTGCAATGAACCATTTAATGACATGGAACTCAGCCAGCCAAGCAAAGCCAAACACCCCAACCAGCCACGCAATGCCAAACAGCGGGCTGTAAAACTCCTGTGGCCCGGCGAGGGTCGTGCAATGACCTCTGCATGAAGCCCAAGTAGGGGCCTTGCAACGGGTGAAACGATCATGATCAAGGGCCTCGCAAAATGCTGGGGATCACGCTGACTCCGTGCGGGCTCAGCTCACTGCAAAAGACTCTCAGATGAACTGGGCCCTGTTACTTGCACCAGTCCCTTCTTCCTCCTTTCCCATCCCTGGGGCCTGAGCTTACCCGGCCAGGCCCCCAAACAGGAACTTGACGGACTTAGGGGAGGTACGGGGCTTCCCGTCCATCCCTCCGGCCCCGGGACTTGCAATCGCCGCCATCGCCACTCAATGGCCCTCAGCTTCGGGTCCCGTGCGCGCGCGGCTCCGCTCGCGCCCAAGGTGACACCGAGCGCGCAACAGGGCGAGAGAGCGCGCGCAAGCCCCTGAGGCTCTCAAGTCCAGCTCCAGCTGGAAGCTGGCGCTGGCGCAGGCGCGCGCGCGCCTCGCAAGGGCGGCCGGGAGTAAGGCGGCCCAGAAGGAGGAGTTTAAGGATGTGTGCGGGAAGGGGTGTGGCTGATTCAGGAAGCCTCAGTATACGCACAGTTTTTACCGACTAGGAATCGCGGGAAAATAGTTTGTTTTGAAGGTCTCGCGAGAGCAAATCAGTCGGGCTCTCCATAGTTAGGAGTTCTCTCGCGATAAATACAGCAAGATTTCAGCTGTGGGGGAGGGATAAAGTGAATGTGTATTCTCGCGGTATTTGAAGGCACGGCGGCGGAGGCCAGACGGATAAGGTGAGGTTTGTAAACAGGGTGGCTTCAGGATCCCAGGCAGTAAAGGGAAATCGTCTTCGGGGAATCGGTTCTCCCTCCATCTCTAACATTTCTCTTAACCGGCCTTTTAGGACCGGAAGTCCTTCGTCTTGAGCGTCCAATGCTGGAAGCGGCCTGACTTTACCGGAAACTCCTTTTCCAGGGGATAGGAAGGCGGCCCACCTGGCCGGAAGTCCCTCCTCCTGGGGCTCCCCCACCCTTACAGAAGTTTTTCTGTCACCTGTGTTTGCCTACGGTCTATTTCCCCGTTTTATCCCTATACCAGAAAAGGACACATTTAGTGTCTCCTTCCCAGCTGTACTAAAGGGGTTGGATCTCTCACTCCCCGAGTCTGGATTCCTTCCCTGGCGCCCCCATGTAGCTGAGAAGTGGGACCTGGGGGTGGCTGGACCCCTAGGATCCTGAAGGAGGGTCTGGGAGGGTGCAGAACTCCGCTTCTGCTCCTTCTATCTGGACGCGACCTCCTCAGCCCTTCCCCTTCTGTTGCCATGCACTCTGCGGCTTTCCCGCTTCCTGTGGTTGTGGCCACTGTGCTGTGGGGAGCGGCCCCCATTCGGGGGCTCATTCGAGCGGTGAGTCTTAGGGGCGGACGGGGGAAGGGCGCCGAAGGAGGGGTTGCAGGCTGAGAGGAACATGAACTTTTTTTAATCCACAGACCTCGGAGCACAATGCCAGCATGGACTTTGCAGATCTCCCAGCTCTGTTTGGGGCTGCCTTGAGCCAGGAAGGACTTCAGGTGACTCTCTTCCCGTTTTGCTATTTCTCCATGACTTCCATCCTGGGCAGGGGTTGCCCTGGGAGAAACTGGAGGTAGGAAGAGTAATAGCAAGAACTAAGTGCATTGGACTGAGTTCAGTCCCCAGCACAGTAAAACAAACACACAAAACAAGTGCATGCACATTTCTAATGTGGAATGCAGAGTCTAGAGGTAGAAGACAGTGTCCACCCTAAAACTACGGGTTTATGAGGGAAATTGAAGTGGTGCTTTTCAGTAGGGTCTCTGGAAGTAGTTTTTGGTTATAGGGACTTGGGCAAGTTAATTCTCTGAGTCTTTGTTTTACTGTAAATTGGGATAATAGAAATTATAGGGTTATTTATTGTGTGAGAAGGAGCATGAAGTTAGATAAGCAGTTGTGTAGTACTTCATCACTAAGACTGCCATTTAGCAAGAACTTAGTTGGGCCATAGGTTTGTGAGATTGGTAATTGGAAAATTGAGGTGTGTTCTCTCTGTGTGTATGTGTACCGAAAATTGGAATGTGAAAGCACCTGAGAGAAAGTGGCATAGATGGGTAGAAAATTCAAACTGGAGTGTGGGGTTCAGGGAGAAGACTAATGGAAGGATCTGGTGAAGGGATGTTGTTTGCTGTAATTGGATCTTTGAGAGAGAAGATGTAGACTTCTGACTTGGATGGGATGCTCAGACCCCAGGAATGAAAAGGAAGTGAAAATAGAGGATGTGCAGCATGCAGGGAGCATGCTTGGTGGAGCATGCTTGCTTGGGAGCAGTGTGCTTGGTGAGCCCTGTGGGAAGCAGAACATGGGCAGGGGAAATCCAACTGTTGTTTGCTTCTATTCCCCAGGGGTTCCTTGTGGAGGCTCACCCAGAAAATGCCTGCAGCCCCATTGCCCCACCACCCCCAGCCCGGGTCAATGGGTCAGTCTTTATTGCACTGCTTCGAAGATTCGACTGCAACTTTGACCTCAAGGTTGCTGAATGTGGAGTGGGAGCTGGGAAGCTGAAGGCAAACAACAGCACCAGGAATGAAGAGAGGCAAGGCCCATGATTGCTCCTCATCCCCTGCCCTGTCTCCCTAGGTCCTAAATGCTCAGAAGGCTGGGTATGGTGCAGCTGTGGTTCACAACGTGAATTCCAATGAACTACTGAACATGGTGTGGAATAGTGGTAAGGTTGGGGATATCTGGACAGCTGAGTTTTCAGTAGAGCTCAGGCTGAGAACTAGCTGGAGGGCTGAAGGCTTCTTTGGGTGGAATGGAGCAAAAAGTGCCAAATGCCAGGGTTCTCAAAGGATTTGAGAAGTGGAAGGTTGACTTCCAGTGTAATGCCTGATCCCTGCAGAGGAAATTCAGCAGCAGATCTGGATCCCGTCTGTGTTTATTGGAGAGAGAAGCGCGGAGTACCTGCGTGCCCTCTTTGTCTACGAAAAGGGGTAAGGACATAGGCTTCCATCTCCTTTCCTCCATTGGTTGGATGCCAACCTGTCCTCCAGGCCTCACTGCCCCACCCACTCAGTCTAAGGTCCTTCTTCCCCCACCCCCCAGCCTCATCCAGAGCCAGGTACCCTCTTGTCTTGCCTTCCTTGCCTCTCTTGAGATTGGTCTTCCTTTCCTCAGGGCTCGGGTGCTTCTGGTTCCAGACAATAGCTTCCCCTTGGGCTATTACCTCATTCCTTTCACTGGGATTGTAGGACTGTTGGTTTTGGCCATGGGGACAGTGATGGTGAGTAGCTCTGGGAGTGTATTGGGAAGAGCTGGGGTTTTAAGTTCAGACTGGATCTAGAGATGGGGAAGTGGTGTGATTTGTGCTGGATTTTCCAGTTTTGTTCCTTAAACCTTGTATATCCACATCTCCTTCCCTCAGATAGTTCGTTGTATCCAACACCGGAAACGGCTCCAGCGGAATCGACTTACCAAAGAGCAATTGAAACAGATTCCTACCCATGACTATCAAAAGGGTGAGGGTACATTCGAGAAGAGGGCCCATCCCACAGCTTACCTGGTTCTGAAGGAGTTCTGAGCCCAGCAGAAAAGGGGCATAAAGATGGCACTGCAGTCTTAGCCTGAGATGCTACCTTTTCTTTTCCTTTTGTCCACAAATACAATGAGGACAGGAATGGAGAAATGGAAAGTAAAGATGACTAAGTAAAATAGTTGGGAGGGATAGACCTTGTATAGAAGGGAGAAGGGGGAGAGCAGAAAAATGGAAGGAGCTTGGAGGATTCAAAGAATCAGGTGAGGGCTGGGTCATCTGGCTCTGGAGCCTCCAGTGACCTTATAAGGCTATAGCTGAGGCCCTGCCCCCATTTCCGCTCCTCCCACTGTTTCTCCACCCTACACCTCCCCCAAAACCCACTTCCCTTCTTACCTCTGCTTTGCTTGTCCCTTCCAGCCCCAAATTCTCCCATGTTCTCCCCTGGCCTTACACCACCTGCCTATTTTAGTTCTTCCACTGGCTCTGTAGAACCAGGGAAAATAATTTTTCCAGGGTTTAGTTCTATAAGCCTCCCAGAATAAGTTCTTGAGGGTTCTAGTTCAAAATGAGTAGCTCAGTGAAGGATAAGTTTCCTTTCTTTCTCTGGCAGGAGATCAGTATGATGTCTGTGCCATCTGCCTGGATGAATATGAGGATGGGGACAAACTGCGGGTACTCCCATGTGCTCATGGTGAGGTCCTCACTACCTGTACCCACACCCGCACCTCACCCACACCCACACCCACCAGGTGCTTCATGCATTCCTCCCCACAGCCTATCACAGCCGCTGTGTGGACCCCTGGCTCACTCAGACCAGGAAGACCTGCCCCATCTGCAAGCAGCCCGTTCATCGAGGTCCTGGAGACGAAGAGCAGGAGGAAGAAACTCGGGGCCAAGAGAATGGTGATGAGGAAGGAGAGCCAAGAGACCACCCTGCCTCAGAACGAACCCCACTCCTGGGGCCCAGCCCCATTCTTCCCACCTCTTTCGGCTCCCTAGCCCCTGCACCCCTTGTTTTTCCTGGGACATCAACAGATCCCCCGTCCTCTCCTTCCTTCTCTTCCTCATCTGCCATCCTAGCCTAATACTCCCTGACCCTCTACAACCTCTGGTGACCTATTTGCACAGGCCCTCTTCCTCCGGTCTTTAAATTGAGAGGGGACATTTCCATTTCAAGTTTCTCCCATACCCAGCTGTATCCCTTTGAGGGGATTGGGACGGGGTGAAGGGACTAGGTTTTCACTTCTTGGGTTAATAAAAATTGGTCTTGTGGACTAAGAAAGGGTAAGGTCATTTCTGCTTGTGGTTTAAGAAGAAAAATATGGTCATTTACTTTTCATAGGTGAATTTTGTATCCTAGAAAATCACCTTTCTGTCTTAAAGGGACAAGGGAGCCTGGCAGATACTAAGCTACAGTCATGGGGACAGCCCCAGCAGCATTTGCTGTGACTCAGAAGGGGGGAGCCCCACCTACATGAGGATGACTCAAGCTGGCCCTGCCTTGCCCGCAGGCTTGGACCCATTCTCTCGTTTGGATGGCTGTATTCCATTACCTACCAATTCAACAAGCAAACTTGAGGACCTAGGCCTTGAACCTAACACTGGAGGGGATAGGCCACTTGAAAAATGGAAGGAGCAAGAAGGGTCTGGTTTGGACATGGAGACAGTAAGTTCAAATACCTGAACTCTAGTGACTTATCTCCAAGTAGGGATAAAGGATGAAGCTCATAGAGCTTGGCCCTATTCTGATACCCAAGCTCAAACCACACAGCACCTTGTTAGTAGAATCTTTTTTTATTCAGAAAAAAAAAAAAAAAAAAAAAAAAAAAAACCAAAAAAAGTTTTCCAATCACACACAGGAGGGGTATGAGTAGGGGGAGGTATCTGTCCATCCAGCCCCGGCCCCCAGCCCATGTGGTTTTGGCAGCAATAAGGGATATGGGGTAATGGCCCAAAAAATAAAAATGGTATGTGTGTGTATGGGAATGAGGGGGTGCAAAAGCTGTGGGGAGTGGTGGGGGAAAGGGACAAATGAGGTCAGTACTGGGCACGCCGCAGGTGGGAGGCCATTTCATAACATTTCTTGTTGATCAAACCACCGTGAACACCTTCTTTGCCCATCAGCAGGACTAGCGCTGGAGGAAAAGAAAAAGGAGGCTAGGACCCAGGTGTCACAATTCCACCCCCTGCCAGCTGTTCAGCAGCTGTCCAGCCCTGGGGGCTGTAACTCAACCTCATCCCTCCCAACTCCCCCCCACACACAGGCAGGCTGTCAGTCACCCTTAAACAATAGGGCTTTTCAAAAGGGGAAAATGAAGCTTAAAGGCTGGAGAGGAACAGGCTAAAATTTAGGGATCAAAGGTTCAAACGACTAGGCTGTGGATGAGCCTGTCACCTTTGGGTTTTAACAAAAGAGCTCAAAAGATCAGAGTTACATGCTAATAACTTAGGATCCCAACAATCTACCCCCTTCAAGAAAACAGGCAGTTTCTAATCTGAAAAAGTTTGAGGCAGGAAGGGCCCTAAGAGGTAATGCAGTTCAATTTCTTTACAAGATGAGGAACTGAGACAAAACTGAGGGTACTATCCAAAGCTCCAGCACCCACCACATTAGAATTAGAATGCTGTTCTGACCCCCTTCACACTGGGAAAGGACACAGAAAAAGAACCTAAAAGATTAGTGGGAGAAGGTACATTAGGGATCTTAAAGCTAAAGCAATGGTTAAGTCTCAGAAACTCACTCTTGGCAGTCATGGTGACAGTAACGTTGAAGGTGGGGGCTCCACCGGTGCTTTTGGTACGAAGATCCATGGTAAATTCCCCATCCTGCAGCAGTGAGTCCCGGATCACAGAACATTTCTGGCCCCCAAGTGTCAGCCCATTCACAAAAAAACTTGACCGGTCTTTGCCAACCAGGACACCAACTTCAGCTGGCTAAAAAGGAAATCAATCACCCATGAAGTTAGTGCACCCAGGTCTCCATCTTGTTCTCCAAGAACCCACCTGCCTTCTACTCCAGGAGCTAGAATCCTGGGGAGGGGGACAGGGCTTTGTACACGACAATGAAATGTGAGAAACTTAGTGCTGGGGAGGTTAATGGATTAGATCATGATCCTCAAACCTAGTAAACGAGATGGAAGAGGAAGGAATAACATATTCCTCTGGAAACTTAGATCTTGATGTTTAATAGAGAAACTGAGAAACAGAGGGGGCCAGAAGTCAGTGAAGCGAGGTGGAGAGCCTTTGGATGCTTAGAACTCTCCTTCAGGAAAAGCAGAAGCGGAGAGGGGAAGGGAGGGGGCGGGCAAAGCAGGAGAAGCAACTTTGCCCTTATTTGGTCAAAGGTTCTGCAGGAGTTGTTAGGGGCCTGGACGCCTGGGTCTCCAAGTAACCTAGAGTTCAGGTCCAGGTATCTATTCCCCAAGATGAGGAAGCAGACCCCTGGGGGTTTTCCAGGAAAGTTGTTAAAGTTTTGAAGGGGGCTGGGGGCCAGACCCGCAGAGACAGCTCTGGGGTCTAGATACCCCAGGGAACCTTTCTCTCCCTCCCCCTTACACCCCAAACCCCCATATCCGGTACCCTCCCGCCCGGAAATCCCCTTCCCCCCTTTCGAACTTCCGCTCCCCCTCCCCACTTCCGGGCAGTGTGGCCTGGGGAGGTGGTGGTGGAGACAGCAGTAGCGATCCCCTATTCCTTCCCTGAATGTCTCTGAACTTCTCACAAAGTTCCCCTGCTCCAGGCCCCGCCGGATGGCGGGAAAGGAGGGTGAGGGGACTTCCGGGATTGGCCTCACAGGAATGTTCGGGCCAACGTGCCGAGTCGGGGGTGTGTGTGGCGGCCTCGCCCTCTCTAACGGAGCTGGGAGGGGCAAGGAGCTCACGGAGGACGGGCATGGAACCAAGGCCACGCGCCTGGGGCTCCCCTCCGCATAAGGAGTTACAATGGTGGAAGGGGCGCAAACTGGAGGCCTGAAGGAGAGCCAGGTGTCCCCAATCTCCACCTCAGCCACAATTCTCGGTTAAAATTGCAGCGCGTGCCCGCCCCGCCCTGGAGGAGACGGAAGTGGGCCGCCGCACCGGGCGGCGCGCCCCTCCCCGCCCTGTGCCCCGGATGTAACGCCCCGTCGCAGAAAGCGGGGTGGCGGGCGGAATGGGCGCTGCCGCCAGAGGTGTAGGATTTAGGGGGCAACAGAGGAACACAAGCAGCTGCCACTCGCGCCGCTCCCAGAGCAAGGACCCGGTCACAGCCTTTCTGTACTCCCTGGATCGCTCCCGCCCCCACCCAAGTCCCTCCCTGAGGATCCAAGCCCCAGGCAGTGCCCTGGACCGCGCAGGCCTCGCAGTACCGTGATGTTGAGGAAGGTTTTCCCAGGGACGGCGGCCCAGACGGAGGGCGAGTCCTTGTAGCCTACGATGGCCGCGTCCTGACAGGTCCCGTCCGCCATGAGGCTGTCGATGTAGGCGTTCCACCCGGACATGGCGCTGCTGCTGGGGATGCTCTCGGCGATGCTGCTGGGGCCGCGGGCTGGGTTCGGGCTGCCTCGGGATGGCGGGCGGGGGAAGGCAAAGAGCTCGGGGCACGCGCTGCCGTCCGGACCGCGGCTCTGATAGCTGTGCAGCAGCTCTCGCACCGCCACTTCCTGCTCCTCCCCCCCCCCAGATTTTTATTTGCAAAGGGCGGTAGGGGCGGGGCCTGCTCCCCATTCCCTCCCTCCCCCCTTTTGCCTGCCCAGATAGCGAACTTTTGCAAAGGCAATTTTAAAAATCCCTCCCCCTATTGCAAAATTTGCAGAGTTCGATGGAAAGCAATGTAAAACGCTGGGGGTGAGGGTGGGGGGCGGCGATGGAGACGCTAAGGTTGGGGCTCGCCCCAGTTTGCACTGAATACAAACCAGACTTTGGTAGAGAGGAAGAAAATGAGCCAGGGGAAGGAAGGAAAGAGAAAGGAGGAAGAATTAGCAACATGCAAATTGGGCAAATTAAAGACGGTTCGGGGAGCCCAGGGTTAAACGGAACGACTCCTCCTTCCCCCCCACCTCCGCCAGAGGGAAGGAACGGCGGGCGGCGGCGCGTGCGCCCGCGCCTGCGCCGGGGCGGGAGGGACAACGCATGGAGCGGTTGAGGCCAGCTGCCGGCAGGGCGAGCGCGCGCCGGGACGGACCGATTTGGACCTTCCTAGGAAGGAAGGCGGGTCGGGGACGTGTCTCCTGCCCGGAGAAAGAAGCGGGGGGAACAGGCGTGTGTGTGCTATTGCCTCTCCAACTCTTTGATTTTGGTTGTTTAAACAATAAGGTGGCAAAGGAGAATCTGACAAATGACTCTGGTCGTTTTCAGGGCTAAAGGTACCCACCCGGCCAGCGTCTGTCTCGTACGCACAGGTCGGGCTCACTCAAGCGCATCCCTAATTCCAGGGAATTATCTCTTTGCTGGATCGGCTCCAGCCCACTGCCTCGCCCCATATTCCAGCTCCGCCCGTTTGAGGGCCAGCAGTTTGGGTCACCGGCCGTGCCCCTTGGCCTTCTCAACAGAGGTCATTAAGCAGGGGTGCCCGCAGGCGTGACAGCGGGACTCATTTTTCAAGGCGGAAGAATAAAGTTCGAAGGTTGACAACTTTTTCAAGAAGAGGAAAAAGTCCTTTTTACTTTGTACCCATTGGGTTTTTTTTTTTTCTCTCCTTTTTCAGTGAGCTTATACTAAATTCCGTGTGCGATCAGTTTGCTCGCCGCCCAGCGGGAAAGGGCTACGGCTAGTTTGGGTTAACTGGACGCTCCCGACCCTCGCTGCTGAGGGGCTTGGCCGCTTCCGGTCCCTTGGGGGAGGGGCGCCGGGGTCACACAGCACCTCCAGGGCAGACAGGCAGTTAGTTTCTCATGTTCTCCCCGGTCGGGCGCGATTCCCTGAAGTCCACCCCGAGTCCCTGGCCCCAGACGCCCCCCAAGCCCGCGTTCCTCGACAGCCGCGTGGCTGAGTCACTGGCGGGCTTGAGCGGGGCTGCGCTCGGGCACGTGGCGGCGCTCCCGGCCTGCCATCTCCTGACCTCTGGTCTGCTCTCTCCCCACCCGGAGGGAGCGGCCAGAGATAAGGGGGGAGGGGCGAGACGGGAGACCAGAGGGCAGTGGGGACCCTGGGGGCAGAGGCAGGGAGGCTGACCCGGCGGAGCAGGCGGGCAGGGTGGAGCGCCTGGAGCGGGCCGCCGGGGTGAGTCACCCGGCGCGGACCGCTGCGGCGCCGACGGGAGGGGCCTCGGAGTCGGGAATGAGGGGCCGAGAGGTGCCGAGACCCCTCTCCTGTCGGCCGGCCCAGGCTGCAGCAGAAGGCTGGGCAGACTCCGCACTCCCTCAGACTCGCTGAGGCGGAGAAAGTTACCGAGCACAGAGACCCACTTCCTGCAGTGCTGCAGACTGACCACGGAGACTGGCCCCTGGCGTCCAGATGCATAAAAAAGACCACCCCCTCCTCCCGTCCATTCATTTTTTTTTTTCTCTCCTGATTCAACACCATTCATTGATGGGCAAGGGTCGCGCGTTGAAATGTCCACAGTCGGTGGAGAAAGGAGCTCCTGACCCGCAGGCTCCGTGCTGCGCGACAAGTGCTGGCCCAGCACTATCATTCGGGCTCCGTGCCAGCCCTCACCGCCCGGCTAAATTCGTCTCCAGGTTCCCCGCCCCCCACCCCCACCCCAGTCGTTGGCCGGGAGAGGGTAGGATGGGGTGATGCCGAGAGTGGCCGGTATAAGGACTCTGAGAGGTGAGACCCTCTCGCCTTCTGTAGGGGCATGGGGAGGGGGCGATTTTAGACCTCAGCGCTTGCACAGCATCCCAAGTCCCTTCCCCCAACTGAGGGCAGAGCTCCACCAAGTGAGCAGAGCATGTGTGGATGTCAGTGCTGCAGCCCCTTTTCCAGGCCCCCTCCCCACCCCTGCAGGGCTCAGGTTACCCTTGGCCTTTCCTAAAGGGCACTAGTTCCTCTTTAACCTTTGCAAAAGGGGAATATAATCCTGGAGAGGGGAGAGACCCCCCAATCTCAAACCCCTCCCCTGCTCCTCCCAAGGGATGGAATTTAAAGGGGTCTTTTATTGGGGGGACAGAAAGTACATGTGTGGGGATTATCTATTAACCTTTGGAAAGATGGTAGAAGCCCAGAGCCAAAAGCTACTGCTTTAGCCTATAGTGGGCACTTGGCTGCCAGCCCGTGTGGAGTGGGGGAGGATAGGGTAAGAGAGGCGGGGCTGGCTGGGAGACTGGTGGCTTGGGGATAAATGCTCAGCCTCAGAGGGGTTGAGCTGACATTGCCCTAGGTGCCACCTAGACTCGGAGCTCCATCTAAAACCCCAGGGAAGACCTCCCAGGTTTGGTGAAACTTCTGAACCACAGGGTTTGCAGATGTGGGTGGTACCAGCTTAGAGAAAGTGAATGTAGGGGAATTTTGGCTTTTTTTCCTCCTAGAATTGAGGGTGCTTGAAAGATAGTGGCAGGACTGGAGCAGTCAGGATGGGGCAAACACTGGGAGTTTTGTCCAAGGACGAAGGGAAACAAGGCTTGAGAGGGTGGGGATGGATAGAAAAGGATAGAGTTGGACCAAGTAGGGAATTTGGGGCCCATGGGAATTTGGGGCCTGTGAGTGTTTGGGAGCTGGACAGTGAGAACCAGAGAATTTGAGGGCCAGGAATCCATGGTGAGCAGATTGCCCAGAGGAGTGGAAGAAGGCATAGTGTAGCTTTGGGGAAGGTAGACGTTCAGAGAGTGGTGGGATCTCAGGTGTTAAAACCAGAGGTCCAGGGGTTCTTAGGGCTGAGGGTGGAATAGGAGCTGTTCAGAGTGGGGGAGGGGTCTGTGCCTGCCTCTTTGGTCTGTGACCTTTTTATGGGGTATTTTTAGCTCTAGCACCTGCCTTCTTGATGTGGGGAAGACTTAAAGGGCAAGGGATTTCTAGTTCCTTAGAGGATCAACTGTCCACACTTAACACTTCTTGCTGTGCAGCCATGGCCATGCAGAAAATCTTTGCCCGAGAAATCCTGGACTCCAGGGGCAACCCCACAGTGGAGGTGGACCTGCACACGGCAAAGGGTAACAGGCCCATTGAATTGGTTTGTCTCAGAAGACCCCAAACCCACATGGCCTTTGCACCCCAGTTCTCTGCCACATTCTAACCTTTCTCTGAGATTCTTTTCCTCAGACTCCTCTTCCAGCCTGTCTCCAGAACCTGGAGCTGGGGGAAAAACAGGAGTGAGTCTGTCTGTCTCTTTTCCCTCCCACACACTATCTCCTGTCCCTGGGCCCAGGTAGGAGAACTCAGTCCTTTCCGTGGTGGGAGGCTCTCTGACCTTCCAATTCCTCTTGCCTCAGGCCGATTCCGAGCAGCTGTGCCCAGTGGTGCTTCCACAGGTATCTATGAAGCTCTGGAACTAAGAGATGGAGATAAATCTCGTTACCTGGGGAAAGGTGAGCACAGACCAATACAGAAGGAACTGTGTGGGTGCTTCAGGACATGGGCTCACAGGGTAGAAGACTGGAACCCAAAGTCCTTGAGCTGGGATCCATGGGAGAGGCCTAAGACACTTGGAAATCCGAACCCCTCTCTGGCTTCTAGGAGTGCTGAAGGCTGTGGAGCACATCAATAAGACTCTGGGCCCTGCTCTGCTGGAAAAGGCAAGTGGAAGAGCCAGCTTCTCTTCCCTACCGCACCCCAGGCAGCCCCTCTCCCCCAAGTCTTTTTACTTATTCCTCCTCTTGTACATGCCCTAACTCCTAAGAAATGTGACCTCTGCCCTTCCCTCTCAAACCTGTCCTTCCAGAAACTAAGCGTTGTGGATCAAGAAAAAGTTGACAAATTTATGATTGAGCTGGATGGGACAGAGAATAAGTGTGAGTGAAAGACCAGAGGTGGGGAAGGAATGGGTAAGGGAGGAGTGAAGAAAGACCACAGAGGCTGAGGTCTGACTGGGGTTATTTCTACGTCCCACATCTTGGGGCACACCAGAGCTGGGATAGCTTTTTATTCATTCCACAGGCATTTCCTGATGCCTGTCCTCTGCCAGGCCTGGCTGACTGTGGACACAGATGTGAAACTGACACATCCCCCTATGGGGTGGGGAGGTAGCAGGGAGAGAGGTCTGTTAACAAAATCTTGGTGCCCCATCATTTAGAGCTCTGGATTTTTCCTGGGGTCACCAGAGAAGATGTACAAAGAAGTAACCCATACTATAGGAAAAGATCTCACACTTTCTACCTGCTTGCCTCCTTCTAGCGAAGTTTGGGGCCAATGCCATCCTGGGTGTGTCCTTGGCTGTGTGTAAGGCCGGAGCAGCTGAGAAGGGGGTCCCGCTCTACCGGCATATTGCGGACCTTGCAGGGAATCCTGACCTCATCCTCCCAGTGCCTGTGAGTGTGACTGTCTCTTCCAGATCCCTGGTGACAGAGCTACACCCACCCAGCTACAAGTGTTTAAGCAGCCCCTGGAAAATCTACCTTTCAGAATCCTCTCAGCTCCAAATAAGCAGTTTCCTGAAAGTGAATCTCTCCCACTGAGATCCAGTCCCCTCCCTGTTTCTCACAATCCAAACCTTCCCAAGCCTGGGTTCCTTCACATTCCAATCCCAGGCTGGAAAACTAGTTTCATTGCCCCCTTGCACCCATCCTTAAATAAAATTGAGAGCTTCTTCACTGCAAGGATCTTGGCATTTCTTTGTATCCTCTTGAGTCCTTATTAAACCAATGCCCTCTTAATAGAAACCCTTTGAATTTAATAGTAATAATGTTACTATTTATTGTTACTAGGAAGACTGTGTAAGGGCACCTAGTCTGGAGACCACTGCTGGGTTTGGATCCTAGCTCTGCCTGTTTACTAGTTAGTTGTGTGATCTTAGGCAAGTTATTTAACCTCTCTATACCTCAGTTTCTTCATTTGTAAAGCGGGAAGTAACAATTATATTCTGCTAATAGAGGTATTTTGAGAATGAAATGAGCTAATTTATGTAAAACACTTGGAACAGTGCTATAAAAATGTTAGCTGTTATGTACCAGGCACATGCTAAGAACTTTATGTTCAATTTCTCTAACTTTCAGCAAAGGATTCTATAAGGAAGTAGAATAGATATGAGGGAAAAGGCTCTGAGGAGTAAAATTATTCATTCTAGATCACTGGACTAGTTAGTAGGGAAGCTAGGATTCCACCTTGAGCTCCCATCCTTACTGACCCCTCACACTGCTGCCCCGGTCTGAGTGCCCTCTCCCCATCTTAGGCCTTCAATGTGATCAATGGAGGCTCCCATGCTGGAAACAAGCTGGCCATGCAGGAGTTCATGATTCTGCCCGTGGGAGCCAGCTCCTTCAAGGAAGCTATGCGAATTGGCGCTGAGGTCTACCACCACCTTAAGGGGGTCATCAAGGCCAAGTATGGGAAGGATGCCACCAATGTGGGGGATGAGGGCGGCTTTGCACCCAACATCTTGGAGAACAATGAAGGTCAGTGCTGAGCACCGTGGGGTACAAATCCCTTGAGTTCCTATGGGTGGTGGGGAGAGGCTGCAGAGACAGGGCTGTGGAGGCCCAGGTCCTCTCTTGCTCCTCTTCCAGCCCTGGAACTGCTGAAGACGGCCATACAGGCAGCTGGTTACCCAGACAAGGTGGTGATTGGAATGGATGTGGCAGCATCTGAATTCTTTCGCAATGGGAAGTATGATCTTGACTTCAAGTCACCTGACGATCCTGCCCGGCACATCACTGGGGAGAAGCTTGGGGAGTTGTACAAGAGCTTCATCAAGAACTATCCTGGTAAGGGCAGGTGGAGTGGCTCAAGTGGTAAGTGCCTGCCTAGCAAGTACAAGGCCCTGAGTTCAAACCCCAGTGCTGCCAGAAAAAACAAACAAAACAAAACCTATCCTGGTGAGATTCTCAGGTGTTCCCGTATTCCTGACCAAGTCCCCTGCAACTAACACACTGATTTCAGTGTCCAGCTTTGCCAGAACTTGTGTCCTTCCAATACTCAGCCCCATCTCAATCCCCATCTAAACACTGCTACTTGTCATCCCTCTGTGAAGCCCCTCCTGACACTAACTCTGACTGTGCTCCCAACCCCACCAGTGGTCTCCATTGAGGACCCCTTTGATCAGGATGACTGGGCCACGTGGACCTCGTTCCTCTCGGGGGTAGGTATCCAGATTGTGGGGGATGACCTCACAGTTACCAACCCCAAGAGGATTGCCCAGGCCGTTGAGAAGAAGGCCTGCAACTGTCTGCTGCTGAAGGTCAACCAGATCGGCTCGGTGACTGAGTCCATCCAGGCGTGAGTACTTCCTGACTCAGATTCACCATGGCCGCCCTCAGCCTTACCAGGCCTACCCACTTTAGCTGGTCTGGCCTACTAACTCCCTTGACACCTGACCCACCTAAGCCCTCTTTACCACAGGCCTTGACTAACCCTTGGCCTAAACCCAAGAACTTCACCATTGTGACCTTGCCATGTCCCCCACCCTTCCTCCTAGATTCTGCTGTTTCCTACCAACATCTCAGGAGCCCCAATTTAAGATCAAAAATCTTACTAGCCAAAAGAGAAAGGAAAAGCCCATCCAGTCCCTGGCTTTTCAACTGAGGAGGTCTCACAAGGCCTCATCAGATGTCCTTTTTACTCAGCTGCAAACTTGCTCAGTCTAATGGCTGGGGAGTGATGGTGAGCCACCGGTCTGGAGAGACAGAGGATACATTCATAGCTGACCTCGTGGTGGGGCTCTGCACAGGACAGGTACTCAGGACTTCCCTTTACTGAGTATCTGACCAAGATTTCCTGGAGTCCCTAGCCTCTTGTCCCTAAATTGAATGTTACCACGGGCTGCTCCCTTGGGGTCAGGCCCAACCCCTCCAGCTTTACTCAGCCTCCAAATCCCTCTATCTCAGATTAAGACTGGCGCCCCCTGCCGCTCTGAGCGTCTGGCTAAATACAATCAACTCATGAGGTACAGTGGGTATAGATAGTAGCCTGGGCAGTGGGGAGCTGAGTGTGCTACTGGGTTGAAAGGTGGAAGTTCTGACTTTGTCTGTGTTCTAGGATTGAGGAGGCTCTTGGGGACAAGGCTGTCTTTGCTGGGAGGAAGTTCCGTAACCCAAAGGCCAAGTAAGAAGCTGGAAGCCCCACAAGACAGACCCAGGCCTTCCACTCCCTTCTTGAAATAAACACTGGTGCCAAACAAGATCATGGTGTGCTCCTTTCTGGGAAGGAGGGAGGAGATGCTTTGCTCTGGGCTACGAAAGACAAAGTGAACAGGTAGGGGGAAGAAGGGAAGGTAGAAGATAGATGTGTAACCTGCTATGACAAGGAGGTGAGAGGAGCCTGGGATGTAGCTCAGTGGCAGAGTACTTGCCTAGCATACCTGAGGCCCTGAGTTCAATCCCAGCACCAAGAAAGAAAAGATGAAAAAACAAATAAGGAAGTGAGGGACTCGAGGGGAAGCTAGGTGAATCTAGGACAGAGAGGGTCACAGTTTGGAAAGAGAGCAAGGAGAAGCAGGTATCATATGTGAAATGGAACTGGAGAGGTGCTGATGAAGTGAGGAACCAGCTCCACAGTGGCAGGAATGGGCAGAGCAGAACTGAGGGTCCTGCTGCCACCTGTATGAGGGGGAAGGTAGGGCAGGCCTACTACTGAGCAGAAAATGGCCTGAGAGTGCACCATGGAGTAAAGGCTGCAGCCAGACTGAGTGCTTTGAGAGGATGAGTGAGAATGAGAGCAGCTACCACTTCCATGGAGATTACAAGGATCTGGAAGTGTTCTCAATATTTGACATGTATTGATCTGTGTGATTTCAGAAACCCAAGTCCTATCACACTTAACATTGTTATCACAATTTAACAGATGAGGGAACTAAGGCACAAAGTTAAAAAAAAAATACTTTATCCAATATAGTAGTTAGCAACCAGAAGAGCTGGGATCCAAAGCCAGGTCATTTGGCTCCAATAATTGTGCTCTTCAAATATAATTGAGCTGAATGTTGTGGTTCACAGCTGTAATCCCAGCATTTGGGAGGTAGAGGCAGCAGGATCAAGAGTTAAGAGATCAGCCTGGGCTATATAATGAGACCATGTCTCAAAAAACCAAGGGCTAAGCCAGGTGCTGATGGTTCATGCCTGTAATTCTAGGTACTCAGGAAGCAGAGATCAGGTGGATAATGGCTCAAAGCTAGCCCTGGCAAATAGTTTTCAAGACCCTATTTCGACACAAAAAAAGGATGATGGAGTGGCTCAAGTGGGAGAGCACCTTTCTAGCAAGTATGAGACCCTGAGTTCAAAAAAAAAAAAAACCCAAAAAACAAGGGTGTGGATTAGCTTAGTGGTAGAGAGCCTGCCTAGCATGCACAACACTGAGTTCTAGCTCCAGCACCACACACACAAAAAGAATACATCTTTTAAATTCCAATGATTGTGTCAATAATTGGCCATCTTTGGTTTACATAAACATCAGTTTTATACTGTTCAACCTAAAATGATTCTCTTTCTTCTTTGCCAGTGGCTCAAGAGCCCACTTTTCTATGTACAAATGGGGACATTGAGTCAAACAGTGTTTATTGAATGTAAAGTAACCCCAGCCCCATGGGGAAGAAAGTTACAAGGAGAACAGAGAATAATACAGATTAAATACCCACCTCCACATTCATACTCTCTTTCACACAACACACACATACCACATACATACCTAAACTTCAATAGGTGACAAATCAAACACCTGCTGCCCCCAGCCTGAGTGACAGCTGGAAGGTGGTTCAGTGGTGGGGCTCCAGGATGGGTCTTAATAGCAGCAGCCTTATCTCTCCCTATCCCCGGCCAGCCCCATAGGTCAAAGGGAGCTGGGTGGCATGCTTAGGAAGTAGTTGGCAACTCTTCCCCACTCTGCCGCAGACGTTTCTTGGCTCGAATCTCATTCATGGCCTCTTCAATGGAGCGTGTGTCCCTCTTATTGGCCACAGGCACTGGGGGCACACAGAAGGGTGGGCAAGGTGTCTCTGCTCCCCTCCTCCCTTCTTATGCTCTTTTCCCCAGGGCTCCCTAGCTCCCACCATGGCTCACCACAGCCATAGGTCTTGTTGGCCTGTAGCATGTGGGCTGCATCCTTGGCTGCTCCCTTGCCAATGAGGTGGCTATACTTGTCTTTGTAGTCGCTGGTGGGGCTGACCACCACAGGTCCCTGCAGGGCTGCCTCCTCCTCCTGTCGCTGGGCCAGCTCCTAGGGGCACAGAGGTGGTGTTCAAGGGGCCTGACTTAACCCTTTCCAGGTGATGGTAGTGGTACAGGGACTGCCAGGCACAGCTCACCTTCAGCTTCCGCTTCTCCTCAGCCTTTTGGGGGTCCCATTCCTCCCCATGACGGTAGGAGTCTAGCTCTTCATCTGAGGGTGCAAACTCCTGGGGAAGAAGGAAATGATGGAGTCAGGGGTCCATATAAATGTCTAAACCTATTCCTTTCCCACAGTGGGGACAGGCTGAAAAGGGGAGAGGAGAGTGAGGAGCACAGGCCTTTTACCTTTTTGAAGATCATGACATAGCGACAGTCATCGTCTTCCCCGAAGGAAAAGGATGTCAGGCCAGCCACTTCCACCACATCATGTCTGGTAAGGGAAGGCAGAAGAGAAAGAGTGTACTGAGTCATGAGGAAGCCTAGTGCCTTTGTTTTGAGGGGTCCCCCGCTGGCCCTTTCATGTCCCCCAGCCCAGAGACACTCACAGTATGCTCCTCTCTATCTTGTTCATAGGCTGAAACTTTTTCTTGACTTGGCCACTGTCTTGGATGAAATCTGACACCTCTTTCTCCATCTTGGGAGAAAGAAAGGGAAGATGTGAGATAAAGGCTCCACCCAAATATCTCTCTCCCCAACTGGGCCAATGGCCTTTCTATGCCTCCCCACACCTTCCCCAGCTTCCATGCCACTGACTCCTAGGTTTCGCCTCTTGAGACATTTTCAATACAAATGAATCCTCAACCTTCCAACTTCAACTTATTGGAAGATCCTTGGATCTTTCCAGTTGTTCTCACCCTTTTACGAAACTCCACTTTCTGTTGTTTGTCTTGTTCTTGTAGTTTCTTCAGGCGGGCAGCTTGTTCTGGGGGTGAAAAATAGGAGCTTGAGGCCAGGACTAGAAGCATGGGTGGGGAAGAGTTTGTCAACCTTCAAAGGAAGTCTGGTGTCCACTGGGAGGTGTTGGATTGGGAAGGTAGGACTATAATAATATTTGTCAAGCATTTGCTATTTTATACATGCCTGTCACCATGATAAGCCCTGGAGTACCAAGACAATTAAAACACAGTTTTGTCCTTCAAGAGCTCAGTTTAGTGGGAGTAACAAAGGTTAGAATCATGTATAATCCCATCAACCAACCCCACTGGGAAGGCAACTAACACTTACTTAATGGTCACACAAACAAAGAACCATAAGACACTTGGGGAGGTGAGACCAGACTTAAGCCCCTGGCCTTAGACTTTTGTCATCTCACTATCTACAGGGAAAGGGGAAACTTTAACTTTCTGTATTTTTTAATGCCCCCACTCCCTACTTCTACAGACAGGATGACATGAAATGCCTCATCTGACACCTTTCTCCTTTGGGGATAGAGGTGTCCAAGGTTAGCCCTAAAGTAAACTGTCCACCTGGCCAGGTATACTAGCTCATGCCAGTAATCCCAGCTACTCAGGAAGCAGAGATTAGGAGGATGAGGTTTGAGGCCAGCCCCACCTAAAAGTTAGTGAGACCACATCTTAACCAATAAAGCTGGATGTGGTACTTGTCATCCCAGCTATGCGGAGGCATAAATAGGAGGATAGTAGCCCAAACTGATCTAGCAAAAAATGTGAAACCGTATTTGAAAAAAAAAGTAAAGCAAAAAGGTCTGGGGGCATGGCTGAAGTGGTAGAGAACCTGCCTGGCAAGCTCGAGGCCCTGAGTTCAAATCCCATTACTGTCAAAAAAAATAACATTTACCTCGAAGTCTTATTAAACTCTCCTCTTCCCATTCCTCAGATCCTGCTTTTATACCAGATCGCTTCTGCCCTGGAATGGTGTTTTTTGTTTATTTTGTTTTGGTGGTACTGGGAATTGCTTTTCCTCCTCTTGCAAACATTGATATCCACCATAAGTCAGAGTTACTTCTTCATTTAGGCTCCACGCATATTTGGTTCAGATACTATAGCATATGCTGAGAATTAGCATACAGTACCTTTCTGTTTGTCTCCCCTACTTAGCTATGAGCTCTTGGAGGGCAGGGACCCTGTTCATATCTTGTCCATTTATCTTTTGGGGCCTCAGGTCCTAACAACATAGAAGCTCTCATCTCTGACCTCATTCACTGTCAGCACATCCTATTTTGGTCACTCATTGTTTTCTAACTGGTTTTCCAGTCTTCTCTGGAGGTGGCATAAGATTATGGCTAAGAACATAGGCTTACTGGGCAGATAGTTCATGACACCCTATCTTGAAAATACCTAACACAAAAAAAAGGCTGGGAGAGTGTGTCAGCTGGTACAGTGCCTGCCTAGTAAGCATGAGGCACTGAGTTTAAACTCCAGTACCACAAAATAAATAAATAAATAAATTTAGGAACATAGGTTTAAAAGTCATACCTGGGTTTGAAACTGCCATTTACTCTCCATGTGACATCAGGAGAGTGACTAAACTGAAGCTTGTTAAGTCTGTCAACTACTGGGAGTTATTCCCTCTCCTAACCTGTACATTAAAGTAATTCCAACCCCTGGCTCCCATTATGCTCCTTTCTTCCTCAGAGCTATGAAATGTACTTCTCCTCTGCCTGTAACACTTGGCTTCGCTCTTTCATTTATTGAACTATCTATTCTTCAGTACTAGCTCACTGCAAACAAGATTAGGACCTCCAGGTAACACGCATGCCCCTCTCTATGTATATGTAGGCATGTATGTGTGTGTATATATATATATATATATATATATATATATACACACACACACATATATTCTTTTTTTCTCTTTTTGGTGGATATATTCCTTTTTTAACCACACACTTACACATACATATTTCTTTCCAAGCACTTTTTGTTTATTAAACTTCCGTATGATCATTTCATCAATGACTCCGACTGTAGCCTCTTTGAAGGGCACTCCTGGCTCCTAGCAGGCGTTCGCAAATAAGGAGCAATACTTAGATACTCAGCAGCCCTTGAAGGCATCCTCCCTGCCCTGCCTCCTTAGGGCAGATGGAGAGCTGGTGCTCGGTACAGGATTTGTCCACGGTCAGGGCCCGCAGGGCTGGGAGCCGGGTCCTCTTCAAGGCAGTCATTCCTCTAGGGTCCTTCAAACGCCACAGTAAAACAACCCAGGGGAGGCCTCCACCGCCCCCGCCTGGCCGCGCCGAAGCTCAAGACAGCCTGATGGGAAGCTACTCAGAACGCATAGCAGGGGAAACTGGACAATGATCCGCGGGGTGTGCGGGGGGACTCTTATCCCGCCAATCAAAATCAAACCACGATCTGCGGGACCAGCTCAGGAGTTTAAGGCTACAGTTGGGAAAAAGGTATTTGGAGGGAGGCTAACGGCACTCGGTTAAATCAAGGAGGGGCACAAGGACATGGAGGACCCAGCTACCAATAGGGGAAGTGTTGAGGGTGAGGTGGGTCAGGAGGAATGTCCAACACTCAGGAGGTAGAGCTTTAAGTTGAGATAACCAATAGCGTGAAAGGCTTGTGGATGGGCGTGTCCCGAACCTAATCGGAATAGAACTGGAGGTGGGCGGAGCTAAATGCGCCATCTTCCAATTAAAAGACGGAACAAGTGGGGGAGGCACCCTACCAATCAGGACTCACCAGCAGCGGACAGGCGGGCCCGTCGGCTAATTGCAAACAAGGACCATAGAAAGCCAGGCTAGGGAAGAAGAAGCAATAGGCTGGAGCTAGGTTTCAGGTAGCCAATCGCCGTCCGCTAAGAACAGCGGGCGGGCAGAAAGCCCTTTTAGGGACTCTGAGGGTCTCAGGAGGGGCCTGTGAGGAGACTTCCAAGGTTCTGGAAGGGGCGTCGTCCACAGGGGGAGAAAGTGCGTTCCCAAGAACAGAGTAAAGAAAGGCGGTTGTGAATTTGGGATCCTCACCTCGGGCCTTGCGCCGACTCTCCTGGTCACCGAGACTGGGTGGCTTCTCCATGGAGCTCAGGATGGAGCCCAGTAGGTCCGCCATCTTGGGAGTGACTGAAAGGGGGGCGGTACGTCTTAAAGGGAAGGACGAATTGCCTTTAAGGCCGGAAACACGTCGGAGGCGGAAAATCACGCGCCGCCCTGCGAGGGCGGTGATCCGAGCCTCTCGGTGTTCGTGGCCGTCTCCTCCGCCCATCCCCAGCAGACAGAGGCCGGAGGCAGGCTGGTGCAGCGATGTTTAATGGCAATTTGTATAAATCAAACCCATGCACATGTAGAAAGTGCTCGTGGAGCCGGCAGGAGGCCCCTGGCGCGCCGGGGAGCCCTCCCCGCGCGCCTTAAATAGATTCATCACTATACTCTGTATGTTACAGTATGTACAGCCCCCTGCCCTCTGGGGCGGGGCGGTCCCGCCACGCGTTCCTAACTACACCCCCTCCTTGCCCCGCAGTGGTGGTCAGAGTCGGGGTGACGGGGGAAGACAGGTCCTGGAAGGGAGGAAACAGACGCAAACATGCGGAGTGGAGTGGGGCACGGTCAGCTCCGAAACAGGAGGGCGCGCGCAGCCTGGGCAGCGGTGGGGACCGAGGCGGATACATTCAGTGACGCGTCGAACAAATAAATAAGGCAAGTCAGGAAGGGCCGTTGGTGCAGGCAGAGAGGGAGCTGTGAAGGGGCAGGCAGGGTTCCGTGGGTCACTGCTGGAGATGCAGGGTCGTGGGGCATGGCTCTTCTGGAGCCGGGACCAAAAGAGGAGGCACGACCAGGACAGGGGAGGAGAGGTGTTGGGAGCAGGTGGGGGCCGCGAAGGGGAAAGCTGCCGACAGGGCTCCCCCTGCCCCAAAAAGCCTCTCCCTGTTAAGACTGCCAGAGGCGCCCCCAGGGTGGTGAGAAAGGCGGTGGAGAGATCAGGTGGCCAGTCCTGGCTGGGGAAGCCCTTCCAGCTCCTGGTTCTGCTTCAGTTCCCTCATCCTGCGGAGAGACGTGGAAGGAGTCAGAGAGGCGGCTGGCGGCCAGGTCAGCCGAGGTGGCAGTGAGGAAGAGGCCAGTACCTGTGTCTGCAGCGCCGCAGGAATCTCATTATCTTCCGAGCTGCCTGGTCCTGCTTCTTGGTGAGAAAGGAGCCTCTGGTGGCAGAAAGAAATGAGGAGCCCTCCTAGAACCCAGGCCGTCTGAGTCCTCAGCCCCTTAGGAACCCCAGCAGAGAATGGCGAGTGGGCAAGATAAGAACAGGGAATGAGTATGGACCAAGCCCATAAGTACAGGGTTCAGGGCCAGGGCCTCACTTGTTGCGGGACGGCAAGGGGCCCGAGGGCCGGTGGGGAGGACCCGGCCTGCGGCGGTAGGAGCGGTAGTGCTGCTGGATGAGCACAGCCGCTCTGCGGCTCTGCTGAAATCGCTTCTGTTCATAGTAGCTTCGGAACTTGCTCTGGATTAGGATGGCTGCTTGGGTCATCTTCTTATAGAGTGCAAACTGCAAGGAAGAGAAGGGACAGGGGCTGAAATGGAGAGACGGAGACCCCAACCCATGAGGAGCATCCCAATTAGGCTGATGCAGGTCTTTATCCCATACACTGCCACAAGGCTGAATTTCATGCCTAATACCTTAAGTGCGATCCAGGTCAGCTTGTGGAGAGAGAAGGGGAGTTAAGGCTCCCCTTCTGGGAGCCTTACTGCCAGAGCATCTGGGTGCTCTGGCAGTAATGGGTGTGTGTGTGGTGGGGGGGAGGTTGGGCAGTATGTTTTCCAGAGGAGGGTCTCACCTGCTTGTACTTCCGGTAACAGCGCTGGATCACAGCTGCTGCTACCTCCTGCTGCTCCTTCAGCCTCCGGCCCTGAGGGAAAAGGTAGTCTCAGCATTTCACTGCCCACCTAACAAACATTGGACCTATCCCCCAACTCCTCCAGGGTCCCTTGACTCAATTCATCTAAGGCCTGTGTGGATGACTGTTCTTTCTCCAGAAGTCCCAGGAGCCCACAGGCACTGAGGGAAAAGGAGGTCCCACCATCTCAATGCCCGTCTAACAGACATTGGACCTGTCCCCCACTTCCCCTGGCTCAACATCATGTAATTGATTCTGAGGTCCCTTGGCCCCGACCTTGTACTTTCGGAAGGCTGTCTGGATAACTCTGGCTGCCTCATACAATTCCCGCTGCTCATGATCTGACAGTGTCAGCAGGGCAAAGTCACTTTCCATCTTGCCACTGGTAGATGCAGAGAGGAACTCTGCCCAGGAAGGTGCTGGAGGGATAGCTGGGCGACCTCGCTCAAAGGGCAGTTCACTGTGAGGGACAGGGAGATGGGATGTCATGGGGGCATCTTCCATCCCTTTAGTCCCACTTAGGGATAGCTGTGAAGGAAGGAACCTCCCCTCCCCACAGCCAGAGCCTGGAGAGAGTGGCTTCAGAGTTTTATCAGCCAGGCAAATTCCCTTCTCAGACACCCTAGGGTCTCAGCCAGAATGGAACTGTGGGAAGCCACATTCCTTTGAAGAAGAAATCTGGAAGCTTTGTCCTGAGCTGGTCACCTGGGAGGGGCTGAGCTGGGGAAATGGTCCACATTCTCCAGGTAGCTGGCCAGCCAGGACATGGTCTCACTGAGCCCTATGGCACCTGTCCGCTCCCGCATTGAGGCTCCAGTCTCAAGCAGCCCCACAAAGTCCTCTTGCTTAATCCGCTCTGGTGTGGCTTCGATGATCTGCTTGGCCAGTGAGATCATGTCCACCTGGATAAAGGCAGAAGCTGTGTGAGCCCTACAGGCTCCAGTTGCTCGATGTTCCTGCCCTGAGGGGCCTCTGGGGTACCAGGATGGAGCTGCCACTTCAGTCTACTCTACCCAGTTCCTTTTCACCACCAGACCCAGGCCTTAGGGACTGCCCTCTAGCTGAGCTTTCTTGGCTACTGTTCTAGACTCATTCATTTATTCTTGCTGGCTCCCTCTTGGGGATACAGCCCTCTGTGTGGAGTACACAGAAGAAACACATACTCTCACATGGGGATTCAGGAACTGAAGAAATGGACTTGCTAACCTTCTAGGCCCACTGTCCCGCTTGGTCTGCACCATGACAACCAACTGGCACAACCTCTCCACAGACTTACCTTCAGCTCTCCAAGAACTAGCCCATGGTTTGCTGACCACATGATACCCTAGCATATGGCTCTGGTTTGGCCTTTGCTCCAGCCCTGAGGCCTATAATACTTCCTGCTGGCCACACTCCATGCAGCCTACTTTGTGGAGTCCTCCATGTTTTTTGCACTTAGACTGCTTCCAAATTACTCACTAGCCTCTGTAAAGCAGGTATGTCCCCAGATTCTAGCATTTGGCTATACCTAAAGATTCATTCTCTCATTCATTCATTCCATAAGACTTCCTTAGCTTTTACAATGTGCAAACCTCCAATGGCCTTTCTTCTCCAACTGAAGTCATACTCTCATTCTGCCTCATACAGCAGTCTGCCTCACCCTACCTCTGCACCCTGCTTTACTAGCCCTCATGATTCCATTAGCACAAGCAGTACCGGGATCATGTCCACCGCTGGTGGGCCATCAACATCCTCTGAAGCAGCCCTATCATCTGGGGCTGGCAGGAAGGCAGGAGGGGAGGTTGGGGACCCTTTAGGGTTGGTGGCTTCATAGTCCATGAGGAGAAGTGGGGCCTCAGCGGCACCAGAGGAAAGCTGGCTTGGAACCATCTCTTCCATAGTAATTTCAGAGGCTGGCAGAGGAGCAGCGGGAGGACTACCATCAGGGGCACTAGAATAGGCTGATGTGACAGAGAAAGTGCCATCTGACAGCTCCGAGGGCGAGGAGACACTGCTTAGACCTGTGAAGCAGGGGAATAGGGTGAGGGCAGCAAGAGCTATAGGCTACCATCAAGTCTACTACCCCTGTCTTTCAGTTTCCCTGCATGTTCTTGCTCCTGTTACCACCCCACCTCTGCCTCCTCTCCCATTGTCTCCTGCCCTTTGGCTTTGCCCTAGACTATTGTTTTACCCATACCCCTCTAGAAAAAGATCAGGGCCAGCCCTCACCAGTGTCTGGGCTGGAGGAGGGTGGTGATAGGGCAAGTGGGAGTTCAACTGAAGCCTCCTGTCTCTGCAGTTCCTCAAGGCAGCGGGCAAGGCGCACATGACCCCGGGAATGAGCCACAGACAGGGGTAGACGGCCCAGAGAGTCAGGAATGCTCAGCGCCTGTCGATTCCAACGGAAAAGGAGAACAGCAGCTTCCAGGTGTCCCAGAGCACAAGCCCACATCTGAGGATAGGGAGGTAGAAGTAAAGTCTGACTTTTTTCTCCAGGTGGCCAGGTCCTTAGACCCTGCTCTTTCCTTGCATCCTTCAAAGAATCTTCCCTTTGAAGCACAATTCCCATTGCCCCTTACCCTGCAGGCACTTAGGGACCCAACGTCCTCACCAGAGGGGTACAAGAGAAATGATCCACGTTGAGCGGGTCAACCTCTTGCTCTAAGTCCAAGCTTCCAGTCTCCACACTCCTGGAGGATTTGGGAGAACAAAACCAAGTCAGGGAAAAAGGGGCAAAGTAGGAACATCAGAAGAAAAGGGACTGGGAAGCAAGCTGCCTAGAAGTACTAAATGGAATGAAGCAGTTAGAGACTCGTTAATTTACGGGGCCTAAGAAGTCAGTGTCTTAAATCAGAAGACAATGATTCCTCCAAATGCTAGTCCTCTCCCAACCCACTCCCAGCTAGTCCCTTCCCACAGTGACCCCTGTTCCCTCTTGGCAGGACTCCAAGTCCTTGTCCCCTGGCACTTCTGTCCCAATGGGTGCTCAGCCCCTTACTGTTCCCCCTGCTCACCGCCAGTGGCTCAGGGTCTCGATGAGGCGGGCATAGCCCTGGGCAGCAGCCAGATGCAGAAGGCTCATGCCCCGGAAGGGGCTTCCATGGGTCAGACGTTCAGGACCCCTCCAGGTGGATCGTGGGATCATGCTCTCCACCAAGACCACCACCCGTGCCTCGAACCCAGGACCCTGGCTTTCATCCTGCAGTACACACACCTATATGCAGAGACCTGGGTATCTGGTCACTTAGGTTGCCCTCCCAGCTTGTAATTCTGCTAGCTCCCTACATTTCCTGTTCCAGGTTCCCACTACCCAATGGCCCACTGGTTCTTCTAGTTGGAGTTCTTATGTGGCTTCAGTACTCCTACTCCTACTCCTACAGCCCACTTCCTCCTGCCACTCTGGTAATCAGAGTTTATATATCCTTGCCTATGCTGTGTCTCCGTATTGGCTCAGACTGGTGCCGTGTCCACACATGGCTTCTCCCCTCAAAAGAAAGTCTCTAACACTCTTCCCAGCCCTCTTCCCTCAGAGACCTGGAACTCACAGAGCTCCAAGTCTCAACTCTCCTGACCCCTCCCCCATCCTCTCCTTCACCTCTACCCTTCTTTATACCAGAAATAGTCTGAAGCCTGTCATGCCAAGAGGGTGCCCAGAATAGCCATTCTTGCCATGGGGTGGGGGTGGGAGTAGGGTGATGTCAGGGAGCAGGAGGACTGGCTAAGGAGGTTGGGGACAGGCAAGCAAGGAGAGTCATACATTGGAGCCATTCTTCCCTGCTCCCTACTGTAGACCACCACCTTTTTCATGGAAGTACCTGAATTGGAGGAGCCTCAGGACCCTGGCAAGGTGCCTGTCCGGCTGCTGCAATCTCTGCCATCCGTTTCTCCATCTGCTCCAGCCGCTCCAGGATGGACATGCGGAACTGGTTGTCTGCAGGGAATGAAGATGGGAGACTAAGTGGACAGGGTCTGGTGATGCCAGGAACACCACAACTGGACTTGCCCAAGGTCTATGGGGTAAAGACACAAATCATGTTGTCTCTTTTGCTACTCACCTTCTAAATGAAGCCTATCAGAACTCAGTTCTTAAACTAGAGTTCTTAATGCCACTCATGGTCTAAAGCCAGGATTCAGAACCAAGGCAGTCTTCTTCAAGAAAGAAGTAGCCAGAATTCTCCAACAGTCATCCAGCCCCAGCTACCCCAAATCACACATTGCACACCCTCCCCTAGTACTCTCCTAGGCAGAATGTTCCCTTAGTTTTTGCCCCACACTACCTTTGTTATCCCCCATGCCAGCGCTGAAGGATTCTAGGATCCCTCCTCTTGGTTAACCACTGCCCAAAAGAGCTCAGGGACTGATTTGAAAAGACCACCCTCTCTCCCTGGCCCCCCGCAGCTGCCCACAAAGAGGATGGTGCAGCTGTCCAAAAGAGGATGGATGGTGCAGCTGTCCACAAAGAGGATGGTGCAGCTGTCCACAAAGAGGATGGTGGGGGAGGGAAGGTGGCAGAGATGGATAGCCAAATCCATTCCTCCTTCTTCCCCCAACCCATACACAAATACACATGCGTACACATGTACCCACACAATCTAAGCTATATCTGTCCCCTCCTGAGATCAAACAAGGACAAGGAGGGGAGGAGATCAGAGCCAAGGGAAAACAGGCACAGAGTGAAGGCTGGGGATGTTCTGAGATGCCAGGATAGAAGGGGATGAATAGAAGGTGACAGCAGAAGAGAGTAGTAGAAAATGATAGGTACAAACTCAGGTAGGATAGACAAGAGGACAGCCAAAAAGATAAAGTAAAAGTGAAGAAAGAAGGGACAAAGATAGTTGGAGTAAGTACCAATCAAACAATAAGAAAGGAAGATAAGAGCAAGGTCAGACACTGGTTCAAGAAGTGGGAAGAGAGAGGGAGGAGACTCACAGGAGAGATGGTGGAACCAATATTAGACAAAGGCAGAAAAACAAGGTGATGAACAGTCATAGAACAGGACTGTCACAGTAGGCAGACTCAAATCACACACAGGCAACCCAACACACACACTTAGGCTTTGTGACAAGAATGGCTCCAAAACTGAGGCAAGACTAAGGACCAAAGCCTCTGACAGAAGGAGAAGTGGTGGGAGACAAAGTAAACTGAAAGGATGATGGTAGAACTGAGAGGAACAGGCGCCAAGAGGAAAAGCCACAGAACAGCAAATCTTGGGAAAGCAACAGGGGGATTTAGGAAGTTCTCAAATTCCAGAAGAGACAAGCAGAAAAAGGAAGAAACAGTCCCAGACTTAGATAAACTGACACATACATGTACAGGTATATGTGTATGCCTCTGTGTGTTTGAATAAGAAAGTACACCACAATATTAGCAGTAGATATCACTGAAAATTTCCATTTCCAGCTGGGCATTGTGGCACATGCCTGAAATCCCAGCACTTCGGAGGCTGAGGCAGGAAGATGAAGAGTTCCAGACCAGTCTGGGCTACATAGTGAGACCCTGTCTCAAAAAACAAAGCAAATTCCATTTTCTACTTTGTGCTTTTCTACAATTTCTAAATTTCCTACAATGAATAGCTATCTTTATAATCAGAGGGAAAAAAATTGAAGTTTTTTTTTTTTGGTTTTTTCTAGTGATACTGATATTTGAATTCAGGGCTTTCTAGAGCCATGCCTCCACCATAAAAATTAGAAATTTTAATACTCATGCATAATGCCTATATATTGTTCTAGAAACTGCCCCTTGTCCTTCCTTACATAGATTCCATCTTTTAGAATGGAGAGAGAATAGGGCAAGAACTGGGATAAAGATGGCTCCAAGATTTACACTGAAGAGGTAGTGAGGACTGTTTGCTGCCACAGTCAGAAATGACCAATGAAACAGTGATAAAGCGGGGTCTAATTGTGGCCTCAAGGGATCTAGTAGGAGAATGTCATACTCAAAGGTTGTGTTAGTGTTAGAGGGCTCAGTACTCACCGTCCAGTGACAACCAGTCAAGCTGTGTACTAGGCAGAGACAGGAATCGGCGGGCTCGATACTCAAAGAGCACAGAAGCAGAGAGGGGTCCCTCCCGCCCTGCCACCTGCAAAGACACCAGCCCCACCTCGTGGGCTGGAGAGAGCAGGATCAGCAAAAGGACTCTTTCTGTGTCTCCTTTTCTGGCCATCTGTGTTAGAGCCACTGATGAGCATTCTACTCTCTTCCCCCCCCCCCACTCCCCTACTGTGGGCAAGCAGGCACTGGCTTCAACCAGCGGCCTTAGCACTAACAGGGAGGGAAGTCCATTTATTCAAGAACTTTATACCTACTATGGACCAGAGAACTCTTAGATTCAAGACCCTGGAGTGAAGGATATTTTTATTCAGCAGTAAAGTTTGGAAGCTGAAGGTCAAGAGACACCTATATTTATGAACAATTTGATGGTGGTTACACCCTTTAATCCCCTAGACTAGACCCTAGAGGTCATGACCCTGTTATTGAGATGGAAGATAGGAAGGCTGTCTATTCACTAGCGGTGTCTAATAAGAGCTGCGTCCCAGGGTCTCAGTGTCTCTGGCCTTGAGGATGAAACTACGAGGCTTTAAAGACCTCAAGACCAGGGGCTGAGACTTTTTCTCCCAATCCCAAGCTTGTCTGGTCTCATCCTGTTTCCTTCTATACCTGGTTCAATTGTTGAGATTAGGAGAGAATACACCCAGACAGCAAAGCTATCAACCTGTTGGTCTCTGGGGTCTCATAGGAAGGCCGACTGTTGAATATAGGGTCAGGGTAAGGGAGGTGGCAAAAGGACAGAGAAGTCAGTCTAGCCCAGTGCTGTACAGAAGAACTCTCTGCAGTGATGGAAATGTTCTGCATATGTACTACCCAATAAGGCAGCACTCACATGTATGGCTACTGAATGCTTGAAATATGGTCAGTGTACCTGAGGAAATGAATTTTAAAATTTTCATTTTACCTGCATTGGAGGAGACCTTGGCTCCAACTAAGCCAAAGAGACTAGACAGAAATTAAGGATCCCTTTGGCCAAATGTCTGATTTCACAGGAAGGGAGGCCAAGGACACAAGAAAGAAGAAGAATTACCTAAAATCACTGGTAGCTAACAAAATTTCTTGGACCAGATCTAAGATTTCCTAACACCAAATGCCAGTCTCTTCTCCCTGCTAGGGGAGCTTGGTGCCCGACCTTAGGATTAGAGGAAGTCTTGGTGCTCTCAGAACAACCCATTTGTTCCCAGTGTTTCCTGGAAGCCTGGAGGGCCTGACCTGTCCTAACTGTCCCTATGTCAGTCCCTTCCCCTACTGTTCCCAATCCCCATACCAGGACAGTAGCAGCGTAAGACACCAGGTTGGACAAGTGAGGCTGGCACTGCGATGTGATCAAAGACACAGGAGTAATGCTCCGTAGCCTCCGTCCAGGGACCTGTGATGAGCACCTTGACCCCACCCTGCAGACAGAAGTCAGACAGCACATGACTGTACTTAGTATTCACTTATTCACTTATATAGATCCTTACAGAGTAGTACTGTATACCAGGCCCTGTGCTAGAGTCTGGGGGTTGGACTGGACCCAATTAGCTCACCAATCTATTTTTCCTCCCAATCTTCCTATCAAGTGGCTAAGCTGTCTGTACCAGGATATTCTGAATCTGCCAGAAATGGTAAACTCAAGGCCTCCCCAAGGATACCAGATAACTGTCATCAAGAGGAATTTCTGCTCTTGGGCTTTTTCACCTCACTGCAGTTCCTCCTTTCCCTGTCAGGCAGCATAAAGCAGAACTTCTCCAGGGCTGACCAGTCTTTCAGCTGCCCAGAGCCTGAAGTCACATCCCTACCATATATTTTCTTCTCCAGGCTGAATACTCCATTCCCTCCCCAACAACAATCATCAAGAGAATGAGGTTCTTAGGGTACTCTCAAAACCACACTAACACATGGAAGGAGGAGGCAGAGGGAAAGAGTTAGTGGGTGAGGACCATGGAAATAGAAGAGAAGGCATAGTTTACATGAAAGTGGAGGTTGGGAAGAAAACCAAGAGCCCATGAAGGGCTAGTGGTGTAGCTCAGTGGTAAAGCACCTGCCTAGCATGCCCAAGGCCCTGGGTTCAATCCTCAGTACCGAAAAGTCATGAAAACCACAGACCACAGAATAAGAGTTAATAAAATTCATTTTGGGTAATCACAATGGAAAAGATAAGCATGAGACTCACCTCTGGGTAGGACCACTCTGGAGAGAAGTCGGTGATGGTGCTAAGAGCAGGAGAGAGCTGGGGTGTTGGGGCAGGGATGGTTGGAGCTTCATCACTGATGAGTTCTCCCATAAGGTCTGGGAATGATGAGAGACTGAAGGGCTCCAGCTCGTTGGCCCCACCAGGTCCTCCAAACAAGGCCTCCCCTCTTGCTACCCTGCCTGATGGCTCCAAAGGGGCAGGTGAGGATGAGGATGAAGGAGGGGGTGAAGGTACAGGTGGGACTGATCCCTGGCCCCTGAGCTCCTCCCCACCATCATCATCTTGGATGAAGAAGCAGTTTCCTCTTCTCCCACTTATACCTGACTGTGAAGGGAGACCCCGAGAGGCTGCCTGGGGCTCCAGGGCAGCAGCAGGTTCTAGGGCAGGACAGGGGGTATGGGTAGCCTCTGCCTCAGGGAAGTCAGGGCTTACCCCTTGGCCCCCTCCATATGTCTGGCCCCTTTGGGGGCTGTTGAGAAAACGATCAGGGTCAAAGGCAGGGCTGGGAGGAGCTGGTGGGGCAGTGGGCTCAGAGCCTACAACCACAGCCAAGCTCACAGAAGGCCTAGAGTCAGCCTGGGAAGCCAAGTGCCCGGTGGGTGTCAAGCTTCCAGCACGCTGCTCCAGTCCTGTCAGGAGGAGGATAGCAGTGCCTCTTCTTGATGAACCCCCTCGAGAGGTGGGAGGGCTAGGTCTGATTTCTAGGGGTTCCGCAAAGCCTGATGAGGAGGAGGAAGAAGATGAAGATGGGGAGGTATGTGCTTTGGGGAGCTCTGGGGGAAGTGGAGTGATCAGGGGAGGAGGTTCAGGGGGCTGTGAGTGGGGGACAGAGGTCAGGGTTAGAGCTCGGGGCTCCACTTTGGGTGAGATGATACGGTGTTTCGTGCTGCTGCATTTGTGGGTAAGGCTCCCGGAACCTAAGCAGAGGTGGGTAGGGAGGAAAGAAGGGATAAGACACCTATGTCCTTCTCCAGCCTTCCCTTCCCCAAAGCCCCAGAAAGTATTTCTTGGGATTTCCCAATAGACAAGAGGTGTAATACTGATTGTGGCCACTGGGAGGCATCAGAAGTAAGTCTCCCTTCCCCATCCCTTTCTCCTCAAAATAAACAATACTGGAAGACTGCAGGGGAGCACTCTCAGCTTGGGGGGAGATGAGAGCACAAGGTAAAGGCATAGAAAAAGGACAAAAGAACAGAACCAAGGTAGTGCCAACTAGGAACAAAACTAAGGTTGTTGTAATGGTAGTGATGGTGGGCAGGAAATACTAAAGGTAGCCTGCAGAAGAGTATGGGCTGCCAGGACAGTAGAGCACAGAGAACTGGGGCCAGTGTTGCCCAGATGAGAAGATCTCCACTCATCTGGCTCATCTTCCTGGACATGCAAAAGACTTGCAAATCAGCATGCAAATCCCATAAAGACAGACACAGAGCAGTGTGGCCAGGTGGTAAGACAGCCCCAGGATCAGGGGAACACCCACCAAGGCCCCCACTGCAGAGACAGGCATGGGTTCGGGGTGCAGGCCTGGTTGGATGGGTATCCAAGATTTGTTGTACCAGCTGTTCCACAGAGAATTCCTCAGTTCCATTCCCGCAGCTCCACTTGATGCCATGAACTACAGGAGATTTGGGGAAGTGCTGTGGGATCCTTAAAGTACCTTGATGGCTCCTCTAAGCCCGTGACATGCTGAACAGAGGCCAGCAGCCTCAAGACTGCTTAGCCATGTAGCTCACAGCTGTCCTTCATTCCCTTTTCCATATTCTACACATTGGACTGCACAGGAAACCTAGCACTCCCAAGGGATGGATGCACCTTCACCCACAGGCTTCTGGACATAGAACCTCAGTGCCTTTGGGATGCCCCATTCTACTCTCCACTGGAACTCTATCTTTGCCCTATTCCTTACACATGGGCTTCAGCTGTCCCAACAGTTCCTCCCGGGACCACTTCAGCCACTCTCTTCGGTCATTGCTGATTGAACAAAAGATGGGACTGCAGCCCTTTCCACAATCTTCCAGGGCTGGGACGTTCAGGTAGTGCACAAGGACGATGTCAGGGTTCTGAGGGCACAAGGGCATACACATAGCCATGGGGACCTGGGGTCCAGTGGCTCAGCTTCCTGGTATTACTTTCTTCCTGCCCCCACCAAGTTACCTCCAATTTCTGGCTCTCTCCATCCCAACCCCCTCTCTCTTCTTCCCACTCAGAACCTACTCATCCTTCCGTTTCATTCTCTCAGACCCCATATCCCTCAAAGAGTCTGGCTCCCTGAGTATTCTGTCCTTACCTGGAGCAGCCAGTAGCAGCGCCGATGGAATGTGGGGACGATGGAAGAGTGAACGTAGCAGCCATAGAGACACTGCCAGGAGACAGGCTGGGGTGGGGGGAGGGCTAGTCTGCTCCCCAATTCTTCCTCTGTTCAGTCCCTTCGCAGGAATCCCAATCTTTCCACCAGTTCCTCTTCAACCCTCCCCATCCCTATCTATTTCCCACCCCTTTCAAATTTCAGCAGCCCCAAGTCATAGATGAGAGACAGAGAGAAGGGAACAGTGGAACTGCTGCCTTTCAGCAAGGGCCAGATTTCAGATATGGGACTATCCAGAAATCCAAGGGCAGAGCAAGAATATACCTAGGAGGAGGAACAATGATTTGGGAAGAGAAACCTGTATGTACTTAAGAGGATTACTGCTTGTACCCCTGAGGGAAATGCAAGAAGAGCAAGTGGACTGGCATGTGTGACCTAGGGCTGGGAGAGCTGGTCATAGAGGGAAATGGGAAGTAGAGATTGGGTCAAGTTATCAGTTAGCTGATCCAAAGTGAATGAGGGAAGACACTGAGGGGCAGCGATGACCCCAAGTCTGTCGGGGTGAAGCCCGGCTAAGGATAGAGGGCAGAAGGAGGCAGATTACTGGAGGCCTGATGCTCTTGGCTAAGGGCGGAGGAGGCAAAAGGAAGCAGATTACTGGAGGCCAGATGCTCTTACCTCCATGCCCTGGACCTTGAGCTTCATGTGGTCCTCTCGGGTAGTCTTCCCATCCTTCCGCTTCTTCCAGAGATAACCATCCTTTCGGTATTTCACCTTCTTGCGGTTGTAAAGTATGATGGAGCCATTCTGAGGCCTGGTAAAGGAAGGGTTGCCTTGAGTTCTGTGAATAGAACCCAGGACCCTTGGTACTCCTCACCTTGGATGACCTTCTCACCTTGTCTTTGGGGCACAGGACAGCCACTCATCATGCTTCTCAAAGGTGATCAGGTAGGATGCAATCTCCTGTAGGAGAGGAGGCACTCACGTGGATGTTCCCTTTATAGGGCTCAACCTAGCCTCTTGGTCATTGCCTTAGGGTCTTACTCTGAAGGGTTGTGGAAACTAGTGGAGGACACTTCCATAAATCTGGACTCAAAAAGTTCTCACTATTTTCTTGGTTCTTTTTCCACCTAGGATCTCATGTAGCCCAAGCTAGCCTCAAACTTGCTATGTAGCCAAGGCTGGCCTCAACCCACAATCCTGTTGCCTCAGCCTCCTGAGTGCTAGACTTATATGTAGACGCCCAACTTTACTGCCCTTTTAAGAATCCCAGGTTCTAACTCAGACAAAATCTAACCTTCTCTCCCTTCCCTCCTAACTGAGGCCTATAACTTGGGACCAGAATCAAATTCACCCTCCATTCTTCACATTGTGTATTATTTTACTTTTTACAAGTTCTACTTTTGTATCCATTCCTGAGGAAAAAACTTTAATGATTTGACACTACCAAGAATTCTAGGTTCTTCAGCTTGATCCCAAAGTTCTCCCAACAAGAGAACAAACCGTGGTTCCCATTATTCACCCATATTCTACCTACCATTTTGCCAGATGGGTCCACTGACTCCTACCTGAACATGCCCTGAACAGATAGCCTCTTCTTAGCTGCTACCACCATGAACCATCCTGAAGACTATAGCACTTACAATCACATGCATATGCACACCCCTTTAACTGACAGTTCTAACATCAAACCAATAATTATTGCCCACAACTAAGTACAAGGCACTATATGTGCAGAATTCAAAAGGTATATTACACAGGGAACTGTGCCCTCCAGAAGGAGTCAGATTCAGTGATGGTTAAAAGCAGCGGTTTTGAGCAGGACATGGTGGTACACACCATAATCTTAGCACTTTGGAGATTGAGGCAGGAAGATCTTGAGTTCAAGGCCAGCTTGGGCTACACCATGAGACCTTGTCTCATAAAAACAAAACAAACCCCTCCCCACAAACCAAAAACACTGGGGCTCTGGAGTGAGATGAACTATAAGAGGTAAATCAGTTTCCTCGTTAGGTTTTTTTGTTTTGTTTTTTTGGTGGGACTGGGGTTCCTCATTAGTATCATGGGGGTAAGAACATGAGATAACATAGGCCAAGTGCTATAGCACAGTACTCAGTACATAAGAAATACTTAGGAGGTAGTAGCTGTTGTTTTTATTTGAGTGGATAAGCCAAAGAGAAGTGGGCTCCTACATGATCTATGTCTCTGTACATGATTCCCAAAGAGCTCCTATGATTCCCAAAGAGCTTAGGACAGTGCTATGTACTGAGAAGGGTCCACAGACACAGAAATGCCTCATTTGCTCTTCAGCAGCCACTAGGCCTTGCTGGTCCCTAATCCCCCAAGCTCCCTAGAAAACCTCATTTGTATTCCACCGTAGCCGTTCTTGAGGCAGCAGCGGGCATCGAGGAAGACACTCCAGCAGCTTCTTGGGGAGGAAGATCTTCAGGTGGTGGCTGTTCTCTAGAGGAAACCAGAAGGGAGGACTTCATAGGGAGGATGCCCTGGCATCTCTATGAGGAAGCCCAGGGGAAAAGGGCCAAAGGCCACACAGAGCACTGGGAAAAACTGCAACCAGGAAGAGAATGGGGGAGCCAAGAATCAGAGGGCCACTCTGTGTGTGTGGGGAGAACATAAGGCTGTGCCCAAACTGGGAACCTGGCTTGTGAACTCACCAGCAACCTCAGTGGTGTCCTTGGTATTCATGGTGAGGGCTCCAGGGAGCAAGGTCACCCCCGGCCTGAGGGGCCGGGGGGAGGGGGAGTCTGTGCTGGGAAGGGAGAGAACAAGGTCATGGCAGAAGCCCCTATATTAATCCAGGATGAAAAGCATGGGATAGAGGAAAGGGTTTATTACTGAGTCTTGCCATCTGGGAAAGATGAGGAAAAGAGAAAGGGCTGAACTATGATGTGACAGTGGAGCCAGGAACTGGAGGTGAGGGAGAACTCAGACATGGTGCCAGAAACATGTCAACGTGAGTGGGGAGACACAATGGAACAAAGCAGAGTGATCAGTCAGTGAGGAAGAGAAGGCTGGCGGGGCTGGGGCAAAGGTGGGTCAGGTGCTGGACTCAGGGCATCAGGTCTTTGTAGGATGGTTTGGCCAAATAGCCTGGATGCTGGGGAAGGGCAGGAGATCTAAATTGGGGTGGAGAGCTAGGCCTTAGAAGATACACCCTGAGTTCCTTCTCTATTTGATTTTTCCAAGGGGAAGGGCAGGTCTGAGAATCTCACCTACTCTCTTTCCTCCAGATTGGTCAGGCCCTGGTAGAATTTAGGCTTCGTACTCAGGATAGCCGGTCCCTCTGCCTGGAGGCTACAGCCCTCTCCACCCCCAGCACCTTCTCCCCAAACGCCTCTGCCTCCCCTAGCCTCAGGTTTACCCTACCCCATCTACCGCTCTGGCTCCAGCTTTGAGCCCCCGCCCCTCTGGAGGAACAGATGGGAACTGGAGGAGGCTCTCAGCGCGGGCTCAGCCAGGTGTCCGGGGATGGAGAGGGGGAGGAGGCCTGTCCAGGCTCAGCGGTGTGCAGTGAAGCTGGGGTTGGAGTAAGGATTCCGCCCCAGGGCGCAGGTGTGCAGTCCCAGGCTAGGCAGCATGCCAAGGTGCAGAGCGGGAGCCGGGCATGGACTGCGGACCCCCGGGCAGCTCGGCACTCGGACACCTGGCGCTCGAGATGGACCCCTACGGTGGGGTGGGGTGTCCCAGTAGAACCTCCCACCCGCACACAGGGATGTCCTGGACTATCCGCGGGGCAGAGTCCGCCAGCGCGCGGCGGGCGAGGGGCAGCGCGGGTGTCGCGGTCCTGGACAATCCCCAGCACGCGCAGGTCCGCGGAGGGGCCCTTCGCCGAAAGGCGCCCCCTGGCGCGGGGGAGGAGGACGGAAGCGGAGAGGCGGGGGAAACCCGGAGGAGGGACGGTGGTCCCTTGCGCGGCTCTCCACATCGGGACCCGGTGGAGCTGCGCCCCCTGGCGCGGGGGCGGAGAGGCGGGCAAGAGGCCCTGGCTCTTACCTCCCGGGGTCCCGCGGGTGACGGCGGCAGCGGCCATTCTACCCTACACCGACCCCCCCCCCAGCGCCGGGTGGCTGCGGCGTCCGACGTCACTGCGCACGAGGCGGAGCCTTCCAGTTAAGGGAATCGGGGGTCGGAAGGGAACTTGGGGTCAGCGCCCGTGGAGTTCCGGGCCGGGCAAGGGACGGGAGGGGACTCCGCTCTCAGGGTCCTGAGTCGGCCTGCTGGGAAGCCCCTGAAGGGGCAATGGCGCCGAGGGACCGGTGTCCGGAGGCGGAAGCTTGGCCGACTGAGACTCCGGGCCCGGGGATATGGGGCGGCGGTCCAGGGCTGGAGCCCGAGGACCGGCGAGGAAGCTGGGCCTGTGCAGAACTCGTTGATTTTGGGGGCCCAGCCCAACCCCATTGTTGGTGGGTGTTTGAGAAGGTGATAGCAACCCTCCTTCCCATTAGCTTTCCCATCACTGCCTCGCTGACAGAAAGGCGACCCTAGGTTCTGCTTGTTTGCTCTTTAATGACAACAGTGAGAATAACACATGTCCAGGGCGGGGCCCCGGGGATAATCCGGGCCTGGGGAGTTCCCTTCGGGGACGGTTGCGATGGGAGCCCAAGGGGGGGTCTGTGACTGCTAAGGGAAGGGAAACGCCCACAAGCCAGCAACGTGATGATTCTGGTGATGGGACTGGTCCTGGGCACGGATGGTTTCTCCTTACTCTTCAGACGCCAACTTCATCCCCCAGCGACTGTAAAAGGGATTTCTCCTGGCTGTAACAGTGCTGTAGGCCAGAGAGCTCAGCCGCCCCCAGGCACAGGCCCCCTCCTGGCCCGGAGGACTCCATGGAGACCAAAGCAGCTGTAGATGAGAAATTGAAAAAAAAAAAAAAAGGAACGGAAAGATCGGGCCTGGGCCGTGGTTCAAGTGGTAGAGTGCCTAGCAAATGTGGAGCCCTGAATTCAAACACCAGTACTCCAAAAATGAAAAAATTGGTCTCTTCTAGATTTCCTAGTCCCCAAGTCCAGGTACCTCACGTCTCTGGTTCTCACCTACTTTATTTTTGTTTCTTTCAAATCCAGCTATCTAACCTGGCTCTTGGCTTCTGCTATCTTCCTATGCAAGAGCAGGGATCCATATCACCTTCCACCACCCTACCAAGGTAGTTCCTCTCCAGTCATACCTGGGCCCCGCCAGGGGAGACAAAATGGTTCTTTTCCTGTGGATAGGTTGCCTTCTCTTCCAGATCAGAATACTCATTGGTGCTGGAGAATCCACTATCCTCTTCATCAAGCACCAGGGGCTCAGATGCAGCCCTGCAGCTGCCCCACTGGGCCTTCTTCAGCCTGTAGAGATTTTAGGCTTAGGAGAGAGGTACCTGGAAGTCAGGCTTTCTGCCTGCCTGCCTCTCTCTCTTTTGTAGATCTGAGGTTTGAACTTAAGCTGTGCATCCATGTCTCTCTCTATTCTTTCACCCTTCTATTCTGAAGTACTTCCTGCTGGGACCCCAGGGTGCTTCCATTTGACCTCCAATTCACCAATCCCAATTTTCTGCTCCCCCAAGACTGAAGTATTTGCAGTTTAGGTCACCACAGGTGACCCTTAGCTTTCCCTGACTCTGGGATGTGTTTTCTGTTTTCAGTGATCCAGTTTCTACTCCTTTCAGCTCATGTGGCTTGTCCTCCATCCCTCAGTTCCGCCTTCTTTACACATAGGAATCATGTTTCAATCTTACCAAGTTACTTTCTTTTTTTCTTTCTTTCTTTCTTTCTTCTCTCTCTATTTCTCTTCCTTCATTTCTCCTTCCTTCCTTTGTACTGGGGTTTTAACTCAGGGTCTACACCTTAAGCCACTCCATCAGCCCTTTTTTGTGAAGTGTTTTTTCAAGACAGGTTCTCATGAACTATTTGCCCAGGTTGGCTTGGAACCATGAGCCTCCTGAGTAGCTAGGAGTACAGGTGTGAGCCACTGGCGCCTGTCTACACCACTGTCTTCTTTCCAAACAGCATCTAATTTCTTCAGAACTCTCAACCTCCCTTTGCTCAAACCATCCTGCCCTCAAACCCTGCTTGGCTCTTAGAGCCCAGATGCCATGCCTCCTTACTCATTGATGGTTCTCTGGCGCCTCCTCAGGTCCTCCAGGTGATAAGTGACAGCTCTTACTCTGGCTGGGATGACCCCAGAACCCTGCTGCATCCCTTCCAATTGCAGCCTCCTTCTCTTTCTTCTGCAAAGCATCTCAGGAGGTGGGAGCCCCTCAGGAGGATATAAGCCAGGCTGGGAGCAACCAGTGGCTCTCTGTGTCAAAGAAGGAGGAAAAGGAGCTAGAGGGCAAAACTAGGTCTCTCAGGGGAGTTTGGCCTGAACTTGGGACTCAGGGGTATTGGGAAGCCCAGGTGTGATCTGGAAAACATGATGATAGATTCACAGAAAAGAGGTCCTGACTGAGAAACACCAGAGAGAGAGAGTAATAAGGACAGCTGGGGACAGGAAAGCAGTGGGTACAATTTTAACAGAGAAGTGTTGAAGGGAGGAGTTTGTCATACCAGCAGGGGTGGAATGTACTGTTCCTCCATCCAGTTGGGGCTGTAAAGCACAAAAAGGGGATTAAGGTCATAACATCCCATATTTCTTCTCCGATAACCTCTCCCAACCACTTGTCTGGCCTTAGGAGCTACAATGTCAATCAGCCAGTGAGAAATTATCTCCAGACTAGGACTTATTGCCATAGGATTTATGGTAGTTAAAAACTGTACAGACTGGAGGTATGGCTTAAGTGGCAGAGTGTCTGCTTTGTAATTGTGAAGCTCTGAGTTTAAATCTCAGGCCCACCAAAACAAAGTGAAAAACTGTACAGCCTTACCTTCCCACCTACAGTTGGTACCAGTTTTCTTCTTTTCTTACCTGGACCTTTGGCTAAGGTTCTCCCAGAAGACATCTCCATAATTTTGGGGCATCAATCTGAGGTTCTGGGAAGGCAGGCTTGGGGGTAGAGATCGGCTGACCACCCTGGAACATCTGAAGTAAGGACATAGTAGGCTTGTGCCTGGCTCTTCCCTTATAGCATCTACTCACTCCCATCATTCAGGAGCCAGTCTTTCTATGGGACCATATAGCTGCTCAGGTTACCCCAGATCATCTCCTTGTTGTCCACTTTAGCTGAAGAAGGTGGTGAGTCCTCTGATTTGAGTGGAGATTAGAGCTGGGGTGAAGGTGGAGATGGTTCACTGTTGGAGCCTTAGATCTCACTGAATCTCAAGCTTCTATACTTCATAGCCAGAGAACGTAATTCTTAGCAAGCAGGGTTATTAAAGAGGAAGGCCCTGGCCACTCAGGTGATTTGACATACAGAGTTCCCATAGGTCAAAGCAAGGACCCAAGAGAGGGAACCTCTGTTTACCTCTCCTCTGTCTCCCTTATCTCAGGACTAATATCCTTATAGGTACAAAGAGGTGTACAGAGCTGTTTGAGAACAGTGCTCACCACTTCCAAAGCCCCCAGATTGAGTGATGAGTATCCTCCTGGTCTCTAAGAAGTGGAATGTCCAGGAGCCCTTTATCTTTTCCAATTCTATCTTCTCTAGATTATCTTTCCCAGTCCTACGACTGGGAAAATACCACCAATGTACTTGTACTCCCAAATCTCTATTTTCAGCCCTGATTCCTCCTAGGGCTCTAATCAATATGTCCTCTTCAGACTTTCCCATCTTGCTGAAGGTACCCCAATTGCTCAATTGAGGGCCAAAAATCTGGTATGCTTCACTTTCCCTTACCCACCAGCAAGTCCTGTGAGTTTTATATCTTAGATATACCCAGATTTGACCACTCCACGCCATTTTCATTCCTACTACTATATTCTGGGTCATCTCCTTCCTGAACTATTATAATGATCTCTCCCTGTTTCCATTCTCATTCTCACCCCCCACCCCCAAACACAATCTCTTCTGCACAAAGGAGTCAGTCTTAAAATTGATCATGTGAAATGATACATGGTTTGAAATTCTAAAACAATTTGGGAAGTAGGGGGATGAATAGATGAAAAGATTATCCATATAATAATTATTGAAGCTACCAAAATGTACATCTAGTTCATGACACTACTTTCTTTACCTCTGTATTTGTTTGAAATTTTGCACAATAAAAAAGTTGAAGAAAAAAATCTGCTTATGTCACTCCCTTGCTTAAAACCTTCCACTGGCTTCTACTGTCTTTAGAATAAAATCCAAACTTTTCTTCGTTGTCTATAAACCCTTCTAATGATCTGGCCTCTACCTAATTCTCTGACTTTACTCTCCACTTTTCTGTAAATTACTGTATTTCAGGTGCATTGCCTGCTTCCTGTTCTACAACATATCTAGGTTGGGAATTTTTTTTTTTTTGACGGTACTGGAGTTTGAACTCAGGACCTCACTTGTGCTTGCTAGGCATGTTTTCTACCACTCGAGCCACTGTGCCAGCCCAAGGGATTGTTTTTTTTAAATAAAATCTATTTGCTTCATCTCTACTCTCTTCCAAATTAGCTCCCTCTCATTTTTCAGACCTCAGTTCAAATTCCCTTCTCCAGAAATCTTGTATAATCACCCTAACCTTGTATTTCTCCCAAATCCTCTATTTCCTCCCTTCCTTCCTTCCCTCCTTCCTTCTTTCCTTTCTTTTTTTGTGGTACTGGGGATTGAACTCAGGGCCTTGCACTTGATAAGCAAGTACTCTAACACTTGAGCCATGCCCTCAGTCCTAGACCCTTTAATTTCCATTACTTTATACTTCTGTTTTATTTTGTTCTGGTATTGATAATTAGCTAAAATTATACTTAACCATTTACACATTTTCTCTCCCCCACTAGAATGTAAATTCTGTAAGAGTAGGACCCCATCTTGCTAATTGTTGAATCCCTAGTGTCTGGAATATTACAGTATTCAGAAGCCACTTGTTGAATAAATTAATGAATCATCATTTAGTCCAGGCACTAACCATCCAGTCCCTTATTTCCTGCTCCTCTCAGGAAAAACCCAGGCATGCAATATTCCCTCCCTCCATCCTCCTATCCTCTCCACACAGTAGGAAGACTCACTTGGCAAAGGGCATGAGGTTGTCTCTATCTTCCTGTACCTGCATGACTGGACTGGGCTAGGGAACTGTTCTGAATCTCCTTGTTGGTGCTTGGAGGAAAATGGAAAATGAATCATTCACTCATGAAATGCCTGTAGGGATGAGACCAGCAAGAGATCTAGAAATTGCGAAGAGAATGTGTGCATCCTGAAAATGAAAAGAGACCTTAATAATTATCTTAAGAGAGTTACTTGTGCTAGACTATTAACTAAATATACAAGGTTGAAGCTGGTAAACACAGGAAAGGTGGATGTTGTAAAAAAAAAATAAAAAGCATAGAGCCATTTTTCTGAAGCTAAAGGTATAGAGTAAGTGCATTTTACAGATGGTAGTTAAGTGACTTGATTGTAATATGAGATGATAAAAGGAAAAAGGATGGTAAGTGGAAATTTAACAGGACAGACACATTTGGAGGTAATTGGCATAGAAGTGGTGTTGGGAACAGTTAGAAAAGTGGCAGAATTGAGGGTTGGTCAATGAATCAGGTATCAGTAGTTAGTGAAAATTAAGTGTAGACAGATTGATCAATTGGTGACAGAGAAGGAGGAGGCATTTGAAAATGTTGACAGGTAAGAAGGTGAGCACAGAAGTCATTTGCATGGAGCCAGTATTAGGGGCAGCCAAAGATGACCTGAGAGCTAGTTGAAGTAGATAGAAAGAGCAGTTAAGAGTACTAGATAAAAACTGGGCATGGCAGTGCCTACCTTTAATACTAACTCTTGGGAAGCTGAGGCAGGAGGATCATGAGTTTAAGGCCAGCCTGTGCCACGGAAAGACAGAAAAAAATTGAAAAGAATACTAGCTAAAGGGCTAAGGGTGTAGGTCAGTGGTTTGATCCCCAGAGAAACACACACATACACAGATACACAAAGATAACAAATCCTAGATAAGTCAGGAGAGTGCATGCGGGACTGCACAAAGGACAGAAAAAAGCAATTGGAAACTTAGAGGACAACAAGTATTTATCCAAGGGTAACTAGGCATGGGCTGGGGAAAGCTACAGAGGTTGAAAAATGGAGAGAGAAGTGCTGCAGATTGAGGTGGCATATGGGGATATAGTTACGAGCTGGGCAGGCGGGGTCTAAACGGGATGTCCTGAGGCTGAGTGGGTCTGCAGAAATGGGGAGCAATTGCAAGCCGAGGGGCAGTCAAGACCTCAGATAGTGGGCCTAAGTGAGTGGTCTAGATCTACAGCAGGGTGGGCTTCAGGACGCCAGCGGGACGCTCAGCAGTTGGCATAGGCAAGCCACAGCCTTGGTGGTAACCGCGCCCGAAAGGGGATGCGGTGCCTGGACGCAAGGGCCAGGCCTGAAAGGGCTGATTGGGCCTGAGGCGGCGGCTGGGGTGTTCGGAACTGCGGAATTTGAGGGCCAGGCGAGGACAGAGCGCCGGAGCGGCTGCGCTTCGGTCCGCACTTGGCCTCAGCACCTGAGGCAGCTGCGAGGTGAATTCCAGAACAACTAGCCGGGCGGGAGGAAGAGCTAAGCCGAAACCCGGGCCGAGGGAGGAGCCGGCCCGGGCCGCTCGCCTGGGGGCGGGGCCCTGGGTGATACTGCCTCTGGGCGGGGCCTGCAAAGGTGGCTCCGCCCCCGAGCGCCCCTCCGACGGCGATGACGTGCGCGGGTCCGAGGCCTGGGTTCCCTCCAGGGTTCGCCCCCACTTTTCCCAGCTTTTTAGGAGCGGGTAACCCTCCCAGGTCCCGGCGTCCTGCTCGCCTTCCTGTGTCCGCAACTCGGTTCTGAAGTTCCTGCCTGGTGGGCCCTACAGTCCGAGTGCATTGCCCCTTTAACAAGAGTAGCCCGGGTGGCTCCTGGCCCCTTCCAGGGACAGCGCGCGCGCCCCTCCGCGCTCGCGCCCGTCCGTCCCCCCGCCCCGCGCTCCCGCCCCAGCTCGCGCAGCCCGGGCGGGCGCCGGCCGCTGGCGCCGCTACTGCTGCCGCCCCCGGGGCGCGAGTCCGCCTCTCCCCGCCCGGGGACCCGGCAAGGGGCGGGCGCAGCCCCAAACAGGCCGGGGATCGTTCCTGCTTCGGTCTCACGCTTCCAGGAAAGTTTGTCCCTTTGCACTCCGCCGAGCTGCTACGGGAACCCCGCCGCTACGAGGTGAGAGTTGGGGGAGGGGGAGGGGGGACAGGACACCTACGGAGGAATGCGTTTGGCTTGGGGGAGCCGAGGAGGGGAGCGGGGGTCCGGTGTGCACGACCCGGCGGGGGCCGGCTAGACGCGAGAGTTGGGATCATGTGCTATTTGTCCCGCGGAGGCGCAGAGAGGTGCCAGGCCTCGGGCAGCCGTCGGTGGGCTGGACAAGAGAACTGGGTTCTCATGGCCGCCCGGCGAGACCTGGTTGGGGGCTGTTAGAGAACTGCATGATGGGCAAGGTGCAGGTGACCGGAGGTCCTTTTAGGGTCGGTCGGCCCCACCCCAGCCTCGGGCTCTTCCCTGTACTCACTGTGCCCTTAAAGCTGCATTGGCAGGCCCTGTACCTACCGCCTATTTCCTTACCCCACTATCCCCTGGCCGTGCCCCTATTTTAGTAGCTGCAAAGGCATACTATTGTGTGTTGCCACCCGTGTCCTTCCCTCCCCTGGTCAGGGTCTGGGGGGGAGGGGGTGTCAGAGCTGTTCTTCCTTAGCCAGCTTCTGTGATTTCGGCTACTCCCTTCCTGTCCTGGGACAGACCAGCCCTTGCATCCCTCCCATGCTCTGCCTAGGAAGTAGGCTGGTGAGGTGAGGCCTAGCATGACAGAGGTTAAGAGGTCTTTGAGGCCATAGGTGAGGACCCGTCATCTCTGGACCCTTTCCATAGTCCTCACCCTGTTGTCTGTGGGTGTGGGCTGCCCAGACTCTCCCTAGGTGTGGGCACCTGATCACCCACATTCCTAGGCTCCAGCCTGGCACCTTCCCCTGGGCAGTGGACGCCATAGCACTAGTCCCAGGCTGGGGCTGAGACCAGTCTTCTTCCTTTCTCCTCTCATCCCTTTTAAGGACCACCCCACTCCCCCTCCCCCCACAGGTATTCTGGGTCCCCCAGGGTGGAGCTCTGGGCTTGGTATGATGGATACAGGATGACCCCACCCTCCCCTGCCCATTGTCCTGGATCCTGAGAAGGAAGTACTGGGGGCTGGGCAAGGGGTTTGGGACCCACAAAGCAAGCCCTGTGGATCCCAGTTCCAGACTGAACCTCCAGCCCTTGAATTTTGCCATCAGCTGTCTCTGCCTCTTATGTGGAGGTTATGGGCTCTAGGTGGAAACAGGTTTCTACTTCTTGCTTGCTGATCCTGTGGGGGAATTATAGATTAGGTTTTATGTTGGATTTTCTGTCTTACCATCTTTCTGGGCTCCTGATCTGTGCTTTGGTCTGTGCCTGTTTGACATCTCTGGGTATTGGTATCCTTGGTGTCTGTCCTTTTCCTCCTCCTATTCTTCACAACATGACCTCAATCTTGCCTTTTGTCTTATTTCTCTCATTTTCTTGGTGTCTGTGACTTTCTGTCCCTCCTCTCCCCCTTCCTGCCACCCTCAGTGTCTGCCCATGTGTGCCTCTCTCTGAATTGCCCTCTGTCCAGCTTGTCTCTCTCTTTCTCTCAATCTGCTCCCCCCTCAATGTGAATGTTCAGTACACTTGTGAGTGACAAGGAATAAAAATATCACCGTCCCTGCCCTTGGATTCACATTGCATTCAGCCATTTCAGAGGGGCAGCTATCCTTACCTTTTCTAACATTTCTCCAACCCCTTGTCCTTTAAATACAGAGCCCCAGACAGACTTCTGGAACCACAGCTGCCTCCTAACCATTCTTCCCCCACACCCAGGGTTTCCCCAACAGTTCCTGCTGGTGTGGCCAGGCCCCAAGTGTAGAATGGGGCTCTCCGTTCAAGGGCCAGTGGCAGCCAGAACTGATACAGCCCCCTTAGTCTGGGGCCAGGACGCCAGGTAACTGGGATGTTGGCCCAGGACCCTGTGAGCTGGGATAGGGCTAGGGAGAGAGGCAGGAATACTTTGGGAGCCACTCAAGACAGTGAGATTTGGGAGGAAGGCTGAGGAACAGCTTGGAAAGGAAGGGGCTGGGTAGCTAACTTGGAAAGGGAGTGGAGAGATGGTTTTGAAGAGAATCTGGGATGCTCTGTTTCAGTCCTCCCAGTGACTCTGACCACCCCTCTTTTTCTGTCCTCCAGCTGAGGAGGGCAGGAGTGTCTGAAGCTATGGCTGGTGCCTCAGTGAAAGTGGCAGTGAGGGTTCGACCCTTCAATGCCCGTGAGACCAGCCAGGATGCCAAATGTGTTGTCAGCATGCAGGGCAACACCACCTGTGAGTGAGTCCCAGGGGCTTGGCTGGGCACAAGTGGAGAAGGCCAGTACTGCTGGGCCAAACTGGGAGAAGGGCTATGCTGGGCAGTGAGCAGGTGCTAGTTGTAAGTGTGGGGGTGGGGCAGACTGGCCTTTCCATGTTCCCGGCCCTGGAAGGGAGGGGGAATATTGGCTAGCAACCATTCATTGCCCAATTCAGGGAAGCAGCTCAGTGGGGGCAGGTCCTAGAAAGCCAAAATTAGCTTTGATGACTGGAGCGGGTAGGGAATATTAAAAGGGAGGAGAGAATGAGCTAGGACAGAGATGAGGAATGGGATGCCTGGATCCTAGGGGCTTGTAGGGGAGTGGGCAGAGGTTGGGAGGGAGTACCTGACCTTTACTTTTCCCTCCTTTGGTTTCCCCTATCTTCTTAGCTATCATCAATCCCAAACAGAACAAGGATGCCCCAAAAAGCTTCACCTTCGACTATTCCTACTGGTCACACACTTCGGTGAGGTTGTTGGGCTAGGGGAAGAGCTAGATCATCAAGGACAGGCAATTTAGGTCTTGGGGAAGTATTTTTGGGAAATAGGACGTCCAGGGGATCAGTTGGTTCTGGATTGGGAGGACAAGGACCCCCTGGGTGAGAGTGGGACCAGGAGGAGGGAAAGCGGACTCCCTTGGGGTAATTAGGACCAGCAGAGACAGGGTAGGATTCTCAGGGATAATTAGGATGATGATAGGGTGGGGGTGGGAGGCACACAGGACCTTTGGGCAGTCATTCATGAGAGACCCTTGGGCTGTAGACACAAAAAACAAAAGTCATCCAGAGTTCCTGCTATCTTTTTCTATTTCCTCTAGGCCGAGGACCCGCAGTTTGCATCTCAGCAGCAGGTATATCGAGACATTGGGGAAGAGATGTTGCTCCATGCCTTTGAAGGCTACAATGTGTGCATCTTTGCCTATGGGCAAACAGGGGCTGGGAAGTCCTACACCATGATGGGGCGCCAGGAGCCAGGGCAGCAGGGCATTGTGCCTCAGGTACATGCTGGGGAGCTGGCTGAGCCCCAAAGGGGAGGAAGGACATGGGTATAAGAGTTATGGGCAGGGACCTGGCTGTCTGAGGCCATTAGTGATTGGGAATGTGAGAGGATGTCAGGATCAGCGGCAGCCCAGGACCCTTTAGAGAGGGAGGCTTTACCCCCACCAGAGACAAAGAGGCTCTGTGAATGAGCCAAGGGTTTGGCATCAGAGGGCCTTGGGTGTAGGCTCTGATTGTAGTACTACTGTTTTACTTTGTTTTGTAATTATTTGTGAGCATAATTCCCCTGTGGGCTTCTGTTCCACAGATAAGCTGTAACTGTAGAAAGAGCGAGTTGTGGATAACTGAGAGTTGTCTAAATGTTCCCTGGCCATGCAGGACAGTGACCTGAGCACAGGCTAGGGAGCAAGATCACTGGGTTTATGTCTTGGCTCACTGAATACTAGCTTATGACCCCAGGCAAATGTGATTCTCTCAGATCTTATTTTCCCATCTTTAAAATGGGACTAACCTCTCCTGCAAGGCTGTGGAATGGGTGAAACAGACACCTGGGACAGGGCCTGCCTAGGATGGGTGCTGCAGGTGGGTCATGAAAAGGACCTTGTCTGTTCCCTCCAGCTCTGTGAGGATCTCTTCTCTCGTATTAGTGAGAACCAGAGTTCCCAACTCTCCTATTCTGTGGAGGTAAGCTCCAGTGTTGGTGGGGGACAGGGAGGTGGGAAAGTAGAGAGATTAAGACTGAGGGCAGTCTCTGGGGTCAGTCTGGGTTGGAATTCTGGTTCTGCCAGTGACTGACTTTGGGCAGTGAGTGCAGCCTGCAGCTCCTGAGTGTTCATCTGTGAAATCCTATGATCTGCACCTACCTTCTAGGGTTGGTGGGAAGGTCAATGAACCACATCAGCAAGGTCTTAGCACCATGCCTGGAATGTGTGTGCTATAGTTACCTGGGTCCTGTGCAGAGGAGTTGAGGGTAAGGTTTGCTGGCTGTCCTCACTTATTTGCTTCTTCCATTCAGGTGAGCTACATGGAGATCTATTGTGAGCGGGTACGAGACCTCTTGAACCCCAAGAGTCGGGGGTCTCTGCGAGTCCGGGAGCACCCCATCCTGGGCCCCTATGTTCAGGACCTGTCTAAATTGGCTGTGACCTCCTATGCAGACATTGCCGACCTCATGGACTGTGGCAATAAGGCGAGGTGAGGCAGGCTGACAGAGTGGAAGGGAAGGGAGCAGGGATGGGAAAGTGAGGGGCAGGACCCTGTGACTGAAGGGGTTCCCCTCCAGGACTGTGGCTGCCACCAACATGAATGAGACTAGCAGCCGTTCCCATGCTGTCTTCACCATCGTCTTTACACAGCGCTCCCATGATCAGCTCACTGGCCTGGACTCGGAGAAGGTGGGGACCCTCACAACATGGAGACAGTGATGTGATGGATGGGGCTAGGGCCATCTTTCCCACCTGTGCTGGATGTTGTGCCTCCTCAGCTCAGGACTTCCACAGCCTCTTTTAACCTCTCTGTCATACCAGTGCATGACAACCTCGTGTTTGCTTATCTGTCCTTACTAGACTTCTCAGAGCAGGATTTGGGTCCCATTGTGTCCCTTGTCCTAGCACACAGTGAGCCTATAAATATTTGTAAGTGGTTAAATGAGTGAACAGTTCCTCGTTGTTACCACTAGTCATTTTCCTTTGTCCTCCCTTGGTTTTCTCTAGCTCATACTAATCACCCATATTTCTCCTGGCTGCTCCCCTGATTTGCCTTCCCATCCATCACCCATCCCAGTCACCTCCTTACTCTTTCTTTTGACCCCAGGTCAGTAAGATCAGTTTGGTGGACCTTGCTGGGAGTGAGCGGGCTGACTCCTCAGGAGCCCGGGGCATGCGTCTGAAGGTGAGGGTAGTTTGGAGGGTGGATGGGGACAATACTGGGGGCTGGTGGGAAGGTCACTAATCATCACGTAGGACTCTTGCCAGTGAAGGTGGGAAGAAGTGGATCTGATTGGGAGAGGAGGATTTCATCTCCACATTTCTCATCCTTTCCCAGGAAGGTGCTAATATCAATAAGTCCCTAACTACTCTAGGGAAGGTGATCTCCGCCCTTGCAGACATGGTAAGACCTGGAGTTGGGAACAAAAGAGGTTCAAGGAGAGGGGACACAGGCAGTGGCCCACCCTGATTGCCTTCCTTTTCCCATCTTCTAGCAATCAAAGAAGCGGAAGTCGGATTTTATCCCTTATCGGGACTCTGTGCTCACCTGGCTGCTCAAGGAGAATTTGGGTGAGAAGCCCCTCTTCCCTCTTTGCTGACCCTGCCACCATCCCATCCTTTGATAAAGTCCCTTTGATAACAAATCCTCTTGCCACCCCTAGAATCCCAAATTTAGTTAGTGTTGTCCCATTGTCTGTTTCCCTGACTTATGGAACATCCTTTGAAGATTTCCTAGCTGAAGTCAAGGACACATCCTGCAAAGCTGAGGGCCTCACTTACCTGCCTACCTATGACTCCTCCCTGACCCTACACCCACTGCTGACTTCATCCCCCTCCCACAAACCTGTGACCACCCCACAGATATCTAATGTCTCCCTGATCTCCCTCCTCTCCACAACCCATCAGGCTGTATGATTGGCTCTACAACTCTTAGCTTCCCCCATCCTCATACAGTGACTCCACCAGACCCCTGCCTGGACATCAAGGCCCCCCTGGCCTCATGTCTCATCCTGACCTTTTTAGGCTCCTGCTCAGCTAAAGCTTTACCATCCTTTCCATTCACAGGTGGGAACTCACGCACAGCGATGATTGCAGCCCTGAGTCCCGCTGACATCAATTACGAGGAGACTCTCAGCACCCTCAGGTGGGGCTTCAGCTCTGGTAGGGATGGGGCAACACAAAAAGTGCCAGGAGCTCAGAAGCTGGTTGCTCAGGACCATGTTCCTGAGGCAGAATGAACACCAGCCCTGCCAAAAGTGTCTTGAGCTGGGAGGGACAGCAGGGGTGCCTGCCCTTACCATTTCTTGCTGCTCACCCAGGTATGCTGACCGCACCAAGCAAATTCGCTGCAATGCCATCATCAATGAGGACCCCAATGCCCGACTGATTCGAGAGCTGCAGGAGGAGGTGGCCCGACTGCGGGAGCTGCTGATGGCTCAGGGCCTCTCAGCCTCTGCTTTGGGAGGTAGGGGCTCCAGGGGAGGGGCAGCTCAGGGATGCCCCTTGGTCCACCCTGTCCTTCCTCACTTGCCTGTGTACAGTCCTGGGGTCTGGGAGGGACAACCCACCATGAAACCCTTCATGTGTTCATGTGACACAGATATGGAGAGGGCACTTGTGTCTTCAGATGTTACAGAGCTGGATAGAACTAAGTCTCTGGGAGAGAGTTAGGATCCAGAGGAACTTTGACAGTCTTCTGGAACTAATAAAATGACAAGTCCTGCCTTTATGGTTCACACAGTAAATTTTTAGGTGGGTGCTCTTGAGCCATGGCTCCAGCCCCTCACACAGAAAATTGCTAAGAGGCTTCTGGAGTACCTGCCTCGCAGAAGGTCTTACAAAACATCAGGGTTTGTTTTCATTTTTGTTGTGTTTTGTTTTGCAGTACTAGGGATTGAACTGATAGCCTCAAGCTTACTAGACAAGCTCCCTACACTTGAGCCATGTCCCCAGTCCTTTTGCTTTTAGTTTGTTTTTCAGATAGGGTCTTGCACTAAATGTTTTGCCTGGGCTGAACTAGAACCATGATCCTCCTGTCTGCTCCCAAATAACTGGGATTGCAGGTGTGCGCCACCATACTTTTTACTTTTTTGAGACAGAGTCTTAAACTCTTGATCATCCTGCCTCAGCCTCCCTAGTGCTGGGATAACAGGTGTGTACCACCCCACCCAGCAACATCAGGGTTTTAGTTGACCATAAGCTTACAGTTGACAATGGAATAATTTGTAAAATGCAGTGTTTTGCCTCACTGATAAGAAGCAATGTCTGTGTTAGGTCAGGATATTAAGGGGCACGGTGGAGGAATATGGATGTTTTTGGGAAGAGTAGTAGGATAAAGTAGGTATGATATTCACCTTGCAGTGTTTGAGGGGCTGTCTCACAGAAGGAAAAGCAGTATAGTTTCTTACTCCACAGGGCAGAATTAGAAACAGCACACATGATGTGAGGCAGATTTCAGCTCAACACAGCTAAGAACTTTCTGAAGGTGTGAGTCATAAACAATGGAAAGAACTGGCTGTCTTGTGCAGTAATGAGGTCTCCATCCCTGGAGTGCAAGCAGAGACAGGGTTCTCATTTGTCAAGGCTCCTTAGGAGGGCCCCTGCCTGGTAGGAGGTTGCCCTCTGTGTTGCTCCTGGCCTTCTCTAGTCTGGTCAGTGCCATCTTTCCTTAGCTTTCTTTTACCTTTCTCCCTCCTAGGCCTGAAAGTGGAAGAGGGGAATCCTGGAGGTGCTCTCACAGCTGCATCGTCTCCCCCTACCCCAACTTCACCCTCATCTCCCCCTGCACATAATGGGGAGCTGGAGCCCCCATTCTCTCCCAATGCTGAGTCCCAGATTGGGCCTGAGGAGGCCATGGAGAGGCTACAGGTGGGAACTTGGAGGTGGCAAGGAGTGGGCGTCTGGTTGCTGCTGGGAATTTACTTCTCTAAAGCCAGGGCTGAAGAGGAAGAAGGCATCCTAGGAGTACTGTGGGCCTCCATGGTAGGTATTGGTCCCAGGCTGTCCTGATCACTGCCTGTCCTTGTGCCCCTAGGAGACAGAGAAGATTATAGCTGAGCTGAATGAGACCTGGGAGGAGAAGCTGCGCAAGACTGAAGCCCTGAGGATGGAGAGGTGTGAGGGCCGGGTCCAACAGCTGGAGGCTTTGCAGGGAAGGTCATGGGTAGTGATGATGAGATTGACATTTGTCTTTCCTTTGCCCACAGAGAAGCATTGCTGGCTGAGATGGGGGTGGCCGTCCGGGAGGATGGGGGAACCGTGGGCGTTTTCTCACCAAAGAAGGTGTGTGAGCGATCGGGTGAGGAGACCTAGGGAGCTCTCTAGATGCCTAGAAAAGAGGGTTGGTGGTGGCAGGGTAGGAGAACCAACCCTGACTCTTCCTCTGTGGTCTCTGACTTATCCCTTCATTATCTCTGTCCCCTTCTCTGACACCTGTCTGTGTTGTCTGGCCATCCTTGCCTTCTCCTTCCAGCAGTTGGCCAGAGAATCCAGTGCTTGTTAAGTGCCTGGGGCCCACAGAAGGATGATAGGGTCCCTGCCCCTAAGAGACTGAAAGCTCTGCTTAGAATCTGGTCCTTATGTGTGTATATGTGAGTTCATGAGGGAATTTATCTTGGGATTCCTTTTTTTTTTGGTGGGATAGGGGCTTGAACTGAGGGCTTCAACTTGCAAAGCAGGTGCTCTATTGCTTGAGCCACACCTCAGTTCATTTTGCTCTGGTTATTTTGAAGATGGAGTGTTGTGTGCTGTTTGCCCCTGCTGGCCTGGAACTTCAGTTTTCTCAATCTTAGCCTCCCAAGTAGCTAGTATTACAAGTGTGAGCCACCAGCCCCACCTTACCTTGGGATTCATGAGAAACTACACATAGTGGTTACCTTAGGAGAACTGGAAAACTGGAGGTTGGTTGGGTTAGAGGCTTAAATGCTGTATGTTTTTGTGTTATTTGACTTTTGTACCCTGTGTGTGCTTTCTAAAACGGTAACTCAGGAAGATGACTGGGAAAAGGAGGTAGAAGAGGAGTGAGTACGTGGCATAGGCAGTGACTGTAAGCGTGCTGGGGTTAGCTACTGATGGAGTCAGCATGACTCGGAGATGAAGCTGCTGGATTCTTGGGGAAGGTAGTTTGGGAAGTGCAGCCTGAAAGATGGGACAGGATTTGGGGTAGGAAGAAGTAGGGATAATGTGAAGCTAAGCAAACCTTAGGGTACACATTAGGCTGAGTATGGCACATTGGTGCCTGACATGCCTGCCAGGCAGTAAGTGCTCAGTAAAGCTTTGCTGAGAGGAAGGAAGCAGGGCAGGAGTGGTTAGGCTTAGTTAGGGGCAGGAATGCCATTTAAAATACTTAACCAACTGACACTGAACCAACAGTCAGAATGGATGCTAACTGTAGAGAGTCAGAACAGCTGCCAGGCGTGATGGGTGCACACCTGTTATCCCAAAGCTCCAGAGACTGAAGCAGGAGGATGAAGAGTTTGAGACTAGTCTAGGTTACATAGCAGGACTTGTCTCAAGAAAAACCAAGGTTGAGGATATAGCTCAGTAATAGAGTGCTCATCTAGCTTGCACAATGGCCTGGGTTCAATCCCCATCACCATTAAAAAACAAGGTCAGCCCAGCTGACTGGTGTATACTGATAAAGGACTAATGTGGAAGCAGAGCAGGAACTTCCACTCCCATCAGGGAACCAGCCAGCCTGTCTGGTCCATGGTCCTGTAAGGTCAGGCCCTAAATCAGACACACTGATCAGGCAAGGTACAGCCAGGGAGAGGTAGGGAGTTACTGGAAGGAGGCCCCAATTTATCTTGTAAGGCAGGCCCATCTGGAAGAATGAGTAAGTAGGGTTCACAAACCCTTGTTCTGAAAGGAGGGAAGGGCTTTGCATTGCCTGGCCTAAGCCACAGCAAGGGGAAGAGGCATGGGTGTATAATTAGGGGTGAAAATCCAGGCTGAGGGGCCTGGTCCAGGGCTGGGTACCCAGGGCTTTGAGGTCCTTCCGAAGAACCTAGACCTTTCTGTGCCCCAGTGACATCTTGAAAGCCAGGACTGTTTCTGGCTCTCAGCCTGGCTTCCAGCCACTTTTGGGTGCCTGTATATGGGGCCTTCCTATGGGGCTTTCCTACCCCGTGGCAGGGTGGAGAAAAGGTAGAAAGGAGTAGGAAACTGATTAGGTGGGCTTTTCTTCCATGGAGGACTTGACACAGTATAGAGATGCCACCTATTAAAGCCCAGAGACCAAAGTGGGGAGGGGTTCTTATTAATTCTGGTAAAGGTAATACAGACCAAAAAAGCATTAAATTGTACTAGAAGTGGATACAGTGAACGTAAGCTCCTTCCTTTTGACCCTTAGTTTTTTTCCTCCCAGAAGCAACCTACATTGTCAGTTCCTAACATGTTCTCTTAGAGGTAATCTGCATGCATGGGCATGTGTTTTATACGTAATTATATGTGTATGTACACACAGCCTCACTCTAATAATAGTGATTGCAGACCTTGTTATTTTAAAGGTTACTTTGCTTTTTTCATGGTGTCACAATATTCTTCATGTAGATTTATTTATCTAGCTTCCTACTGGTGGGCATTTAGGTTTTTTCACATTCTTTGATACTACAAACCATGCAGCATTGAGTAGTTTTATAAATAGGGGTTACCCATAAGAACAAATCTGTAGAAGTGGATATTTTGAGTCAAATGGTAGCCATTTAAACTTTTTTGGTGGTATTGGGAACTAGGGATTGAGCCCAGAGCCATGTTATGCCACTGAGCTATATATCCCCAGTCCCTTAAAACAAACAAACAAAAAACTTTGAACTTTCAATCCTCCTGTTTCCGCTTCCAAGTAGCTGGGATTATGGTCATGTACCACAGCTCCAGGTTCTATTTTTTTTTCTTTTGGATACTGGGTTTTGAACTCAGAACTTCAAGCTTGCTAGACAAGTGCTCTACCAACTTGAGCCACAATCCCAACCCCCAAGCTCTAAAATTCTGATTGCTAAAGTACTAACTCAAGTTAATAATCATGTCAGCAATTATTCCCATGAACAATATGTAAGGGGGCCCATTTTTCCTCACCCTTTTCAGCATTCTGTGTTAATCAGACTTTATTGATCTTTGCCAGTGTGATGGTGAAAAGGTGTCTTGGGATAGTTCATATTTACATTTTTCTCAAGGTAGTGAGAATAAACATATTCTCAAATGTTTAAAAGGCACACAGCTGGGCGCCAGTGTCTCACACCTATAATCCTAGCTACTCAGGCAGAGATCAGGAGGATCAATGTTTGAAGTTAGCCCAGGCAAATAAGTTCGAGAGACCCTATCTCTGAAATACCTAACACAAAAAGGGCTGGTGGAGTGGCTCAAGGTGTAGGCCCTGAGTTCAAGCCCCAGTACTGCAAAACAATAAATAAATAGAAAATAAAGGGCACACATATTTCAGAAGGGCTGTTAGATTCACTGGGGAAATGGGCTTGGTAGTTTTGGTTCTAGCCTAGGAATGGTCAGGTGGAGAGTTGGGCCCTGGGGCAAAGCCCGGTTTGTTTTGGAGAAAGCCAAGACCGTTTGGGAAAGGCCCTTCTTGTGGGACCTCTACCACCGGTCCTAAGAACTTCCTTCTAAAATTGGTGATTTTTAAACCTTGCCCCTAGCTTCTTTCCCTGGCTGAAGAGGGCACAGGACTAGCCTGTGGGTTCCCCACCCCCAGCCTGGGCCAATTTGGCTTCCCACTTATCTACCTGACATCCTAGACTTCTAGATAAGGTTTCATTTGAACAAAGAGTTGCAGGAATGAGCAGAAATTGAAAAGCACTGCCCCAAATCATGTTCCCTCTCCCCAGGGATAGATCACTTTCTGCTTCGAGAGCCCATCAGTGTCATTCATTTCTAGAGCAGGTCTGACACTGTGTAGGGAGGGACATGTGTGCCCCTTGAGGGAACTGTGGCAGCAGCAATCGTGGTGCCAGGGAGGAGCAGTCTGAATACCTCTGTTACCGACTGTGGATGCAGCCCTGGGTTCCCACTGTGCAGTGTGAATTCCAAAGAAATCTGGGGCCTCCACTCCTGTCTGTTTTCCTTCTGCCTCCATGCTTCTGTCAGACTCCTCCCTTCCCCTGGAACTCTTCCTTTTGCATGTCCACTCCTTCATCCTCAGAGACCAGTCCCCATGTTGCCTTTCCCATGAAGCCAATTCTCTGATCTCCCTAAGCTTTGTTCTTTGTACTTTGTTCCTCTTTGCTTGTGAGTTGCTCCCAGAATACTCAACACCCTGGGAACAAATGAATGAATAAATGAACTAAGCAAGGTCATAAGAAGATTAGAAACTCCTCTGTCACATGTGTGTTTTTCCTGTTTGTAATGAATGGTGTTTCCACACCAAGTCTTTTTTTTTTTCATTTTTTTATTATTCATATGTGCATAAAAGGCTTGGTTCATTTCTCCCCCCTGCCCCCACCCCCTCCCTTACCACCCAGTCCGCCCCCTCCCTCTCCCCCCGCCATACCCAGCAGAAACTATTTTGCCCTTATTTCTAATTTTGTTGTAGAGAGAGTATAAGCCATAATAGGAAGGAACAAGGGTTTTTGCTGGTTGAGATAAGGATAGCTATACAGGGCATTGACTCACATTGATTTCCTGTGCGTGGGTGTTACCTTCTAGGTTAATTCTTTTTGATCTAACCTTTTCTCTAGTACCTGTTCCCCTTTTCCTATTGGCCTCAGTTGCTTTTAAGGTATCTGCTTTAGTTTCTCTGCATTAAGGGCAGCAAATGCTAGCTAATTTTTTAGGTGTCTTACCTATCCTCACCCCTCCTTGTGTGCTCTCGCTTTTATCATGTGCTCATAGTCCAATCCCATTGTTGTGTTTGCCCTTGATCTGAGGTCCACATATGAGGGAGAACATACGATTTTTGGTCTTTTGGGCCAGGCTAACCTCACTCAGAATGATGTTCTCCAATTCCATCCATTTACCAGCGAATGATAACATTTCGTTCTTCTTCATGGCTGCATAGAATTCCATTGTGTATAGATACCACATTTTCTTAATCCATTCGTCAGTGGTGGGGCATCTTGGCTGTTTCCATAACTTGGCTATTGTGAATAGTGCCGCAATAAACATGGGTGTGCAGATGCCTCTGGAGTAACAGTCTTTTGGGTATATCCCCAAGAGTGGTATTACTGGATCAAATGGTAGGTCGATGTCTAGCTTTTTAAGTAGCCTCCAAATTTTTTTCCAGTGTGGTTGTACTAGTTTACATTCCCACCAACAGTGTAAGAGGGTTCCTTTTTTCCCGCATCCTCACCAACACCTGTTGTTGGTGGTGTTGCTGATGATGGCTATTCTAACAGGGGTGAGGTGGAATCTTAGCGTGGTTTTAATTTGCATTTCCTTTATTGCTAGAGATGGTGAGCATTTTTTCATGTGTTTTCTGGCCACACCAAGTCTTGCCTCCCTAAGTTGGCTTTGATTTTCTTTCTGATAAGGACAGCCACATCTGGGTTTGACTCATCTTTGTCCTGCCTGGCACCTCTCTGAAAGCCATATAAATCCTTGTAGAGCAGAGGCAGGGAATGTTGTTGGAAGGGTTAGGAAAGCTTCATGGAGGAAGTGGTATTTGCCACAGACTGGTATGGGGGGGGTGGAGACTTGAAGGAATTGAATGATTTTGACAGGTGGGGGTGGTAGTTGGGTGAGGAAGAGGCTGTTCCAGGCATGGGAATGTGGCAGGGTGAGCAGCTCATGCAGCAGCCAGGGATACAGAAGGTCTGCTTCAGGTAGGTGCTTAGTAGTCCACTGGGAAGGAGCACAGAATGGGGAGAGGGCCCCAGATGTGCTTGGACATGTAGGCTGGGGCCCTGATGTAGAAGTCCGGGGAGACTAAGGTAAAAAGCAGGGCTCAAGACAAGTGGGCATGGGGTGCCAACAGAGAAGATGTCAGTGGAAAAACAGTAGTACCACCATGGTATGATGTGGGCAGGAGGTCAGGCAGGCTTGAGGCAGGATGGTGCAGAGGGGTGTACAAGTATGGGCTGAGGCCACAGCCATGGATTAGGGGACTTCTCCTTATATCCCAGAAAGGAGCATGGCAGAAACAAGGCCTGTTGCTACCTGGAGTTTTGTATCTGGGGTGGGTGGGGTTGCCCTAACAAATAGAAGTTAGGAAAAGGTACTTTGGGGAGGGGAATGGGCTACATTTTCAGCACAGAGCAGTATAATGATCAGCCAGGTATCTGGGATGGATTTAGTCAAGAAGGCCTTAGGCAGGGATAGCCAGGGAAACATTGTGTCGTCTGCCAGGGGCACAGATTTTCTCATTTTCTTTTATTTTATTATTTTAAATTTTTGTGGTACTGGGGCTTGAACTCAGGGCCTATATCTTGAGCCACTCCACCAGCCCTTTTTTGTGAAGGGTTTTTTCGAGATAGGGTCTCCAAACCTTGATCCTCCTGATCTCTGCCTCCTGAGTAGCTAGGATTATAGATGTGATCCATTCGTGCCCGTCCTCTTGTTTTATTTTTAAGTTGAAGTGTCACTTTTTTTCTGGAGATACCAGGGTTTGAACTCAGGACTTTGCAATTGCTAGGCAAGTGCTCTACCACTTGAGCCATATTTCTAGTCCTTGAAGTGTCAATTTTTATTTTTAAATTATAGTTATAAAACTAACCCATGCTCACAAGAAATTCAAGCTGTAACAAAAGATGAGATGTACCATTCTTCTTACCCAGTCCCTTCCCTTCCCTTCTAAAAGTTGCAAGATAGGTTTTGAGGGAAGAAATGACAGGACTAGGGGACAGAGGAAAATAAGGAAGAAGAGAACAGTGCAGTTGGGTTTCAGGGCTTCCTTCCTGTCCAGGCTCCTGGTGGATTGAGACATCTCCAGAGAGACAGGTCTCAAGAAGAGATATTGACCTGGGAGGGGTGGGTGCAGGGGTGGTTTTGTGTAGTCTTTATGAGGAGAGCGTGGTTGATGTGAGAGGTGAGAACCAAAGAATCAAAGGTGCTCCTCAGGAGGAGGGAGGGTGGGGGAGAGCACCTCAGTGATGGCAGGATGAGCAGCAGTGATGGCTTCTTTGTGACCATCCCTCTCTCTACTCTCAGACACCCCACCTGGTGAACCTGAATGAGGACCCACTGATGTCTGAATGTCTGCTTTACCACATCAAAGATGGTGTCACCAGGTAAGTGTACCAGTGGCCTCTCCTTTTTGCAGTGTGGCTGCGGAAGGATGGCTGCATAGGTGACTCCCTTTCCTGGTAGTTACTGGAGACACCTCAGATCTCTGAGCAGCTGACTTCATAGCCCCAGTTGCTCTCTCAGCACACAGTAGCAAGTGCTCTGCAACTGAACTACACCTAGTCCCTTCATGGCTTCTTGACAGGTTGCTGAGCCTGCTTGCTCAGTAGGTATTCTCTATCCCCCAGTTTGGTAAGGCTTAGGACCAAACAAGTCCAGCACTGTGGGGATGGCTCTGGATTTACTGGAGCAGAAGAGTTGGTGGGAAACAAGACTACTGCATTCTTAGCTCCTAACACCATTACCTTGGCATCCCTTGCTGGGACCCTCCATGGAGAAAAGTGAATATGGCTTGGCTCCATGTTGTCAAGGGACAGTGCCCACATAGCAGGCCCTGAGGTGGAGGGTAGGTGGCTTCACCAGTTGATACTCACGAAGCCCTGGGGCTCAGTGCCACCTGCAGTTAAAGGAATGAGGCGCTCCCTCCTTTCCTACCACAGGTGTTTGTGGCTGTCTTGGGCAATCATTGTATGGAGAGACTGAGTCTGAGAGTAGTGGGAGGCCACGGCTCACTTTCTCCCTTTGCTGTATAATGTGTGACTCAGAACATGGGCTTTAGGGTCAGGAAGACCTGAACCAATCCCAGCTTCACTACCACTCATGTGCATGACTTTGGCAAGCACTTCCCTCCCTGAGCTTCCTCATCTGAGATGAGAATAGTTGTGTTCATTGAGTTGGATGAGTTGGTGCCAAGAGGATTTGGCAAATATCTGAGATGTGCTCAGAAAATGTTGGCTGTTGCTTCCCCAGGGTTGGCCAGGTAGATGTGGACATCAAGCTGACTGGACAGTTCATCCGGGAACAGCACTGTCTATTCCGCAGCATCCCTCAGCTGGACGGAGAAGGTAATGTCAGGGGAGGAGGGTGAGAGTGGAATGGTCTGACAGAGTTGGGTCCCCCGTTCTACCCCATAGAGGCTGGGTCAGCCACTGGAGAGTGCAACCATATACTGGGGGGTAGTGTGCATCCTCACTTTCAGCAGAATGTCACACTTGTGGGTAAGCAGTGGGGGTACCAAGGACCTGGCTCATTGCATGGTCACAGAGTGGTAAGGGTCCCAGCAGACATAGCATTCCAGTGTGCCCGAAGGTGGGATTTTGGTAAAGAAGAAATACTTTCTTCCGCCTTGATTTTTTTTTAGCCTCAGATAGCACCCTGGTCATTACGTATGAAACCCTGTATTTGTTTTAGTGGGATACCTGAATTTATCTCTGTACGGAAAACCTGCATTGATCCAGCTATGACATCAGAGGCTTCTGAGTGCAAAAGGGCCTGTGCACCTGTGTGGTTCTAAAGTTTTTGTGGTGATGTTAGCCCTTAATGTGGGCATAAAGCTTTTAGGAGTCACAGGCTCTGAGGGTGCGTTATTGTGGTAGCCTGTCTGACTTAGCAACAAAACAGTACTCTTGCAGTTCAGGGTATTTCTGGGTGGTTTTTTTTTTTTTTTTTTTTTGAGGGGGTGATCAAATACAGAGCCTCGTACATGCTAGGCAGGCACTCTACCACTGAGCCACATCCCCAGCCCAAGCACATTTTAAAAAATTAAAAATAGCTTTGACCCAGTACACCAATAATAATTTAAAAAATAGCTTTGAGTGTGGTGGTACACCTGTGGTTCAAGCTACTGTTAAAGCTGAGGCAGGAGGATTGCTTTAGCCAGGAGTTTGAGGCTAGCCTAGGCAGCATAGAAGACCCTGTCTAAAAAGAAAAAAGGAAAAGACACTCTCTTGTGGCTTGCAGCTCAGATTTAAGATGTACTATTTGGGTTTGATTTTGGTTCAGGGTCAGCAGATTAACACAGTTCTTCTGGTCTGGTTCAAGTCTCCAATGGGCAGCAAAGTGCTTCTGGCATTTTGGGCTGAAAGCTTTGAATTGGTTGAACTTAGTGAGTTATTGCCAAGTTCTTGTTCTGCTGTTACCTTTAGTCATCTGGTGGGGGAGATAACAAAGGCCTGAGGGGTGAATTTACCATCCATCCAGGACTTCATTGTGTTTGGGGAAGTGACAGACATGTGCAAGACCATTAAGTAAATCACAGCAAAAGCAGCTAATGTTTCTGTGCCCTGAACAGTGGGGTAATAAAGGTTTAGTCCTTCTGGGCTCTTACTCTCTTGACGGACTTGAGACTTCACCAGAGACAGGCAGAGAAGACAGACAGCATGGATGTAGAATATTTACTATCTACTCATGTCTTTGTGTTCTCTCACACAGCTTACAGGTAAGGCTCTGAGGTTAGGTGATTTGCCCAAGATGACACAGCCAGAAAATGGTACAACTGGATTTCAATACAGGATGGCAGGCTCTAGGACTGTGCTGTGGGCTCTGCCCTGGGCTGCCTGTTGTCATGAATTCAAGGATGGAGAGGAAGCTGTTGTGTCAGACCAGAGCAGTCATTTCCTCACTGGCCTGGTTTTTGTCCATAACACCCATCCTGTCCTTCAGAGGGACTTGAAATTATCTGCTTTTAACAGTTATTAGAATTAAATTACTTTAAATTATTTTGTTTATTGTTTGTCTTACCAACCCCTGGGATTTGGGATTGTTATCTCTGTTAGGTTTCCAATAGTGCCTGGCATATGGTAGGGGCGTAACATATTTATGAAGTCAGAGAATTTCGGGGCATGTGGGAAATAAGGAAGTAAAGGGTGGGATAAACTGGTGCCTGTCTTATCTTTCTGTTGCTGTTTCTGGACACACAGTGATGCCTTTGCTGTCTCTCCCAGTCCTCCTCTTCTCCATCATTTCTGCCCATTGAAATCTGAGTCTCCCTTGGAGCATTGGCTGGAAAGTTGCCACTTTCACTTAAACCTATTTAGCCCTCTTCCCCAAAGCTGAGTTCTCTTCTGTCTTTGTTCTCCCTCTGTGCCAGTAGTCCTCTTCTCTGGCTGCTGTTATAATTCATTCTGGTGTCTATGTTTCTTTCTTACTTAATAGTGTAAATAATAATAAAAAGTCATGTTTGCATATTACTTTACGGTTTATTTATTTGAACCTTTCAGCATTATATAAAGGCTTTATTATCTCATTTTATAGAAGATCCTATAAGTTAGATGACTTGCTCAGAGACTCTGGCTAAGGGTCTTTAATTTGGATGTATTTGTTGTACAGGAGGATTCTTTGTGACAATTTGAATAGGCTTACATTGTACATTAGTTAGATTGCTCGCACAATCTCTCTCTCCACAACCCCCTCCTGGGTCCCTCAGCTTTAATAGGGCATCACTCCTCAAGGGCAGGGAGCTGCCTCATGCATCTTTGTGTACCCAGCAAACAGCAGGCTCAGTGATTTGATAGATATTTGGGTTTGGTTAAAATGTGTCATTTTTCTTGACAATGACTTGAGAAGATCAGTCAGGTGGCAGTTTGCAAGATGCATTTTGCAAAGAGAGGTGAACTAGGAGTCTGCTGGAAAAGCAGGCATGGACATCTGGAAGACAGAAGTAGCAGGGCAGCCTCTGCCCAGTTGAACATGAAAAATGAAGCCTTCTGAGAGTGGATTTTCTGCTGGGGAGGGTAGTGGTGGGTGAGTAAGGAGCCACTGCAGTTGCTTCTGGGAGTTGTAGTTGGGACTCTAACCCTCCTTCTGCTCTTCCTTCCCCGTGCTGCCTGCCACCAGAGGGCCTGTGGCATCCCCACAGGTACTGGGGTGGGGGTGGGGGTGCTAGTGGTGCATGTATGGGTTTGGGGATAAGGCAAGGTGGGCATCTGTGACCATAGCACCTTCCCCATGATCTAATCTTTCCTCTTCCTCTCTCCCTCCACTCAGTGGTAGTCACACTGGAGCCTTGTGAAGGAGCTGAGACTTATGTCAATGGGAAGCTTGTGACAGAGCCGTTGGTGCTGAAATCAGGTAGAAGACATGTTGCAGAGGCTGGGATATAGCTCAGAGGTAGTGCACTTGCCTAGCATGCACAAGGCTCTGAGTTCCATCCCCAGCATCACAAAAAAAAAAAAAAAAAGGAAGGGAAGAAAGGGGAGGAAAGGAGGGGCAGGGGGAGAGAGCAAGGAGGGGAGGGGAGAGGGAAAAGAAAGAGGAAGGAAAGATGTGTCACAGAGTGAGGGTCTGGGACATGGCCATACATAGGAAGCTCCAGAGCAGGGCTTTCTGGACACATCCTAGGTAAAACCCTGAAATGAATCAGAAACAGTATGAGGATATGAAGGAGCTGGGATAGAGGAGTCAAGTCTTGCTGGCTCTCTTGCCCTGTGGTAATAAGAAGAGGATGCCAAGCCCCTTCCTCCATTCCCTTTAGTAACAGGGATCAGTGCTTCCTGAGGGCAGCTAGGGGAGCATAGACTTTGACTGCTTCTAGCCTGGTTGTGATGGGACAGAGGGTGTCAGGGCCCCTGGGACTCCAGGCAAGGTCCTGTTTGCATTATGTGTGGGTGTGGGTTTGCTGCTATAAGGGAGCCAGTCTACTTTCTCTTCTTCCCATCTCCAGGGAATAGGATTGTGATGGGCAAGAACCACGTTTTCCGCTTCAATCACCCGGAGCAGGCGCGGCTTGAACGGGAACGAGGGGTCCCTCCACTCCCAGGACCACCCTCTGAGCCTGTTGACTGGAACTTTGCTCAGAAGGAACTGCTGGAACAGCAAGGCATCGACATCAAGCTGGAGATGGAGAAGAGGTGCCAGGGGGTCCCCTGAGCATTGTCCCTAAGGGCCTAGGGCCCTAGCATCCTCCTGTTGTTAGACATCCCACCGAGGTGGCTCTGGAGCCCCCCCAGAGCTAGTCCTTCCCTCTACCTAATCCCAGGTTGCAGGATCTGGAGAATCAGTACCGGAAAGAAAAGGAAGAGGCCGACCTGCTGCTGGAGCAGCAGCGACTGGTAAGGGCGCCTGGGGGTGTGGTGGTGGGGGACAGAAAATGGGGAAGAACTTGAGGGCCAAGGAGCACCAAGGCTGACATCTCTGCCCAACTCTGCTTTTGTTGGTACATTGTCTGAGCCAGAATGGAGGTGGAGGTGAAGGGTAGGGGTGGCATCCAGGAGGAAAATGTCAGGAAAGAAATGTGACTGGGGAGGAAACCATTACAGTACACAGGAACTACAATTCCTCCTGTTGACCATGGCTCTGCAGACACCAGTTGGCCCAGTGCCACACTGGCAATCTTCACCACATTCAAGTACTGTTATTTACATAAGATTGTTCTTTAAATGGACTTTTAAGTCTGTTACCTCATTCCAAGCAGTAGCATGTAGTCATTTGCTGCATAATGATGGTTCCATTAATGACAGACTGTGTATATGAGGGTGGTCCCATAAAATTACATTGCTTGGTAACATGTAATCACCATGATTTGTGTCAGTACAGTCTATGATGTTTGCACAATGACAAAATCACCAAGGACACATTTGTCAGAATGTGTCCCTGTGTTGAAGCAACAAATGACTATATGTGCACAAAATGTGTGGTTGGTTACCTACAGCTAATACTTATGATTGCCAGCAACTGTTCTGAATATTTAATCCTTCAAATGAATCTGTATGGTACATACTATCATTGTCTCTGCTGTCTAGACCAGCAGAGGTTAAATAGGTTGCCTAAGAGGGTACAATTCCTGCCAGGCACTAGTAATCCTAACTATTTGGGAGGCTAAAATCAGGAGGATCAAGGTTTGAAGCCCGCCTGGGCAAATAGTTCATGAGACCCCCCCATCTGCAAATTAACCAGATTAAAATGGACTGGAGATGTGGCTCAAGTGGTAGAGCGTCTGCTTTGCAAGTGTGAAGCCCTGAATTCAAACCTCAGTCCCACCCAAAAAAAAAAGTGCACAGTTCTTAAGAGATGGAGCAGGACTTGAACCTAGGTACGCTGATGGTGCTTCCTATGACTTTGGGACAGGGTGGGCTCTGGAATGTCCTTAGCCCTCTCCCTGTGTTCTTTCTTTCTGGCCCCAGTATGCGGACTCTGACAGCGGGGACGACTCTGACAAGCGTTCCTGTGAAGAGAGCTGGCGACTGATCTCCTCCTTGCGGGAGCAACTACCCCCCACCACAGTCCAGACCATTGTCAAGCGCTGTGGCCTGCCCAGCAGCGGCAAGCGCAGGGCTCCTCGCAGGGTTTACCAGATTCCGCAGCGGCGGAGGCTGCAGGGCAAAGACCCCCGCTGGGCCACCATGGCTGACCTGAAGATGCAGGCAGTCAAGGAGATATGCTATGAGGTGGCCTTAGCTGACTTCCGCCATGGGCGCGCTGAGATTGAGGCCCTGGCCGCCCTCAAGATGCGGGAGTTGTGTCGCACCTATGGCAAGCCCGAGGGCCCCGGAGATGCCTGGAGAGCCGTGGCCCGGGATGTCTGGGACACAGTGGGAGAGGAGGAAGGAGGTGGAGGTGGCAGTGGAGGCGGGGAGGAAGGAGCCCGCGGCGCAGAGGTGGAGGACCTGCGGGCGCACATTGACAAGCTGACCGGGATTCTGCAGGAGGTGAAACTGCAGAACAGCAGCAAGGACCGCGAGCTGCAGGCCCTGCGTGACCGCATGCTGCGCATGGAGCGCGTCATCCCCTTGGCTCAGGTATGGCGGCTGCACCCCCAGCTCTCCCCCTCAGACCCCGCCTCCCCCTTCTGCCCTGAGACAAATGACTGCAGTTCAACAGCTTCCCGTAGACTGTGAATCACAGGCCTCACATTTGTCACCCCAGCCTACCGTCTACGTCCTGGGGTTCTGCATCTGTAACGAGCTCCCCAGGTGTCTCTGAATGAAGTACAGTGAAGTGCAGAGTGTACGGTGGTTAAAAGTTACCAGAGTGCTCACTCAGAGCTGTCCTCTCCTGGCTGGTTGACCATTACTTTGAGGTGGACACTGTGCTGCGTGTTTTCACAATAGCCCTGTAACTGGTAGTGTTGTCAACCATCCCTGCTTTGCATGTACTCATTCAACAAATAACAAATTGAGTGCTTACTGTGTGCCATGTATTCTGCCAGTCACTGGGGTTACCTAAACAACAGGCAAAATTTCTCCCGTATTCCAGCTTACCTTTTAACGAGGGCCACAGTCATGTTTCAAGGTTGCTGAAGGCTTCCCTGTCTAGTGTAGCCTCTGCCCCCTTGCTTGCTCCACTCCATCCCCACCTCCAGCTTCCTTGCTGTTCCTTGCACTGCCCTGGCCCTCTGCAGATCATTTTTCCCCAGACAGCTGCACAGCTTGCTTCTTACTTCCTTCAGGCCTTGACTGGCATGATAACTTCTAGGTGGATCCCTTTCTATACAGCCATCCTGTGCTGGCTGCCTGTCCTACTTCACCTGCTCTCTTCTCCACCTGAAGTAGAACTCAGGAAATTCTTGGAACAAGTCTAGGCACTGGCATCACTGTATAGAAGAGTAATACATCATTGTATAGAGAGAGGCTACATGCCAAGAGTCTGACCACACAGTTAGGAAGTGGCAGATCCAGGATTGAGCTCAGACCACCTGCCTCGGACCTGTGCTGCTAAATCCCTGCCCTTCTATCTTCTTATCTCCAAGCTCTTCTTTGGACCTGATGACATCTGGTTATCTAGGCCTTTCTGACTTAACCCTGAGGATTCATCCTTTCCTCATACCACTTCTTTTTCTCTCACCCCTTTCCTTCCTAGGATCATGAGGATGAGAGCGAAGAAGCTGGTGAGGTCACCTGGGTCCCACCTGAAGGGTCTGAGGCAGTAGAGGAGGCAGTGTCTAGTGACCGATCATCCTCTGCCCGGCCCCCCTCACCACCCCTGTCCAGCTGGGAGCGGGTGTCGCGGCTGATGGAGGAGGACCCTGCCTTCCGTCGTGGCCGCCTTCGCTGGCTCAAGCAGGAGCAGCTGCGGCTGCAGGGACTGCAGGGCTCTGGGGGCCGGGGTGGGGGGCTGCGTAGGCCCCCGGCCCGCTTTGTGCCCCCACATGACTGCAAGCTCCGCTTCCCATTCAAGAGCAATCCCCAGCACCGGGAATCCTGGCCAGGGATTGGGAGCGGGGAAGCCCCAGCTCTACCCCAGCCCACGGAGGAGGTGACTCCCCCTCCGGCCACCCCTGCCCACAGACCTCCAAGTCCTCGCAGGTCCCAGCGTCCCCGCAGGAACTCCCTGGATGGAGGGGGCCGATCCCGGGGAGGGGGTTCTACACAGCCAGAACCCCAGCACTTCCAGCCCAAAAAGCACAACTATTATCCCCAGCAACCCCAACCCTACCCAGCCCAGCGGCCCCCAGGGCCCCGCTACCCCCCATACACTACTCCCCCACGAATGAGACGGCAGCGCTCAGCCCCTGACCTTAAGGAGAGTGGGGCAACTGTGTGAGTCCCACATCCTGGGCAGGGAGGGCTAGATGCTGGCCTTGCTGAGAGAAGGAGGAGGCTGGAGGCAGAGCTTCCCCAGAAGCCCTGGGGCAGAGAGGCCAGAGAGGAAAGAAAGGTCTGAGTAGGTGATAGAAGACGTGAGGAGCCGAGCCGGAGGCTGAGGGAAGGAAGAGGGCACGGAGTTGCCTGGAGCAAACCAAAGTGAAGGAAGAGCAATAGGAAGCCGCCTTGGGGCCCCCCTTGCAGAAGGGGTCCCCACAAACGCTGCTATGGGTGGGTGGGGGGCTAGGGGCTGCATAGCCAGTGTTTGACTCTTGGATTGGGTGCAAAAGGGAGAGAACCAAGAGTGAGGTGGGTTCTCCTCCCCAGCCCCTGTCTGTCTGTCTATCTGTGGTGGGTTTCTGTTTCCAGGGAGGTGTGGTGGGATCCTAAGTCATTCCCCTCTCCTTCCAGACCTCTTGCTATATTTGGGAGTCCTGTCTGGTTTGGCTGGAGTCCCATGAGGATGTGGGATCCGTTAATAAAGGGTAGCAAAGAGGGAGTCTGTGGCTTGTTTGCTTGGGGCTGTAATAGTGGTCTGGGTGGCGAGTGGGCAGCACAGCTCAGTATCCAAGGCCCGCATCATTTCTGCACATGCATGCTTGTGTGTCATTACCGCCCTGAGCAAGTGTTTCTATCTTGTCTCCTTGAGCTTAACAGTCTTTTCTCTTGAGGGTATATAGCCCATCCATTCTTTCATTCTTGCTTACCCAGTGTCTTCATCTATGTCCCCAACTCCACTTTTCAATGTCTTAGACAAAGTAGACAGGGAGAAAGTGAGGGAAGGTAGAGGGGCTACAGCCTACAGAAGGAACCGGGGCTCTGGAGTTCTGCTTCACTGACTTGGCTCTTTTTTTTTTTTTTTTTTTTTGCATGGTACTGGGGCTTGAACTCAGGGCCTACACCTTGAGCCACTCCACCAGCCGTTTTTGTGATGGGTTTTTCAAGATAGGGTCTCATAAACTATTTGGGCTGATTTTGAACCTCATTCCTCCTGATTTCTGCCTCCTGAGTAGCTAGGATTACAGGTGTGAGCTACTGACACCCAGCTTGCCTCATTTGTTGGAAGCTCTTCCAAGTAGCCCCAATTCCCTTGGGAGTGAATGTGCTCTACAGGCTTACCACATCCAGCCGTTTATTTTCATCCTGGTAGAGTTACCTGCCTTTCAGCGAGCTGCATTCAGCATTGCAAATAGCATTTTGTCTTAAGAACTATTTTAAAGCTGGATGTGGTGCCACATGTCTTTAACTAGAGGCTTAGGCAGGAGAATCACAAGTTTGAGGCCACCCTCTGCAACATAGTGAGACCCTGTCTCAAAACAAACCCACTTCTACCTGCTAAAACATTTAAGGCTGGGCATGGTGGTTCACATCTGTAATCCCAGCTACTTGGGAGGTAGAGATTAAGGTTTGAGGACAGCCTGGCCAAAAAGGAAATCCCCCATCTCAACCAATAAGCTAGGCATGGTGGTGTGTGTCTGATCCCAGCTACACAGGAAGATGACTGTATAAGGCTAGCCTTGGGCAAAAACAAACTCTACCTGAAAATTACCTAAAGCAAACAAAAGGGCTGGGGGCATGGTACAAGTAGTTGTCCTGAGTTCAAATCCCAGTACTGCCAAAACAAATTATTTAAAAAAATTGTTTCAGGAAGGATGCTGCCTGCCTATTTTAATGTCCTGACTGGGAGCAGGGAGCAGGGTGAAGTGCAGATTAGATTGTATGGAGCTCTGCTCTGAGCTTGCCGAATCCTGGACTCCTGTTCTCAGGATAGTGTTGTGGTTGGCCAGTCATGGTGTGCAAGCAGCCAAACCAGAGGTCTTCCAACGGCAGCCCAAGCAGGGCTGTGAGCAAGGGGAGGGTAGGCTTGTGTGCTTGCACACCCTGATGCCGCCTATCTTTGTTTTGACACCTTTGACTGCTAGGCCTTCGGGGACCTGTTGATGATGGAATGTAATGGGTAGTTTAGTAGCAGTGTTTACTTGAGCAGTTTATCATCTGGTGGGGAGACTAATGTGAGCAAGAAAATGGTAAAACAAAGTCCTCTGCAGGTCAGAGCAGGCTGAGTAGTACAAAGTGCTTGCTAGTTTAAAGTACGCTTGGGTTATTCTTCCCTAAAAACTCTGCCTCATGTAAATAGATACTCCTTTTTAAAAAATCGCCTCCAGTTCCACGTCAATCTTTAAGAATGTGGCTGAACTTTGTTTAGATTTTATTCAGGGAAGCGCCCATTAATCTTGTGTGCTGCATATACCAGCACTCTGCATGCATTTCATTTGGTCCTTAAAATAACCCTGTAAAGAGGTCTGTTTCCATTTGTCAGGTGGAAACATTGAGGTTTCTTTAGATTAATGATTTGTCCAAGTGCATAGTTTTTTTGTTTGCTTTTGTTTTTTAAGACAGGGTCTTGCTTTGTAGCCCAACCTGGCCTCAAACTCATGATTTTCCTGCCTCAATCTCCTGAGTGCTGGAATTATAGGCATGGGCCACCACACTTGGCTACAAGTGCATAGTTTTTAAGTGTTAAAGTTAGGATTCTAACTCAATCCCTCTAGGAAGTTGGATAACACCTTTTCTTCTAGAAACCACATTGCCTTCCCCTCCAAGTCTTAGGTATTCTCGAGTATATCTTGAGCCTGTGCTTAGTTTGTGGTCTCTCCCTGTCGCCCTGTGAAGAAGGGAGAGCTACTGTTTTGTGAGAGCAATCTTGCCTATTTTCTGGCTCGCTCAGTTTTGGCATTCCTACAGTCTCATCCTTGGTTTCCTTGGAAATCCAGTTTGCTTTTCTTCAGATCTCTTTGGATGCTTCTGTTAGTTACTCAGACTGTTCTGTCACCTGGGAGTTCTGTATCTTGAATCATCTTGAGGATCTTGGTACTCTTTTTCCCCCACCTCTCTCCAGCATCTTTTTTCATATTTTTCAGTATTCATAACTTATATTTATTTTGAAAAATTGAGTGGGGAAGTGGGGCATGGCTCAAGTGGTAGGCCCTGAGTTTAAACCCCAGTCCTGTTTTTTTTTTTTTTTTTAAAGATCTGTTTTGTAGCCCACACTGTCCTTGAACTCAGTCCTCCTGCCTCAGCCTCCTGAGTGCTGAAACTACTGGTGTGTAATCCAGCATTCTTTTCCCTTTTAAAGATTTACTGTACAATGTCTAGTGCCGTTTTGCTTCAGTTGCACTGTGGGTAGGCTCTTACCATCCCCCAAGATGTGCCACATTAATGAGTACCACCTCCCCTGTGTACCATCCTCTTTTTTCTTCACAGATTGGAAACAGTTTTTGGAGCCCTGGGTGTCACTGGTGTCCTCTTCCTACACCAGTAGAATTGTAGGGAACCGTACCCAAGGCAGGCTGGCTTTTTGTTTTGTTTTTGTGGTACTGGGGTTTGAACTCACGGATTCACACTTGCTAGGTGGGCACTCTACCACTTGAGCCACAACCCCAACCCAGTAGGCTGGCTTTAAGTTGCCTACTTAGCCCAGTTTGGTTCACAGGCTCTCCCTGTATCTGTGGCACACTGTAGTGCCTCATTAACATCTGGCTACTCCCTTAAGGATGGTTTGGTGTTCACCTCTCTGGGTCAAAGGACAGCAGCCTCTGTTCTACTGCCCACTCCTGTCTCTTTCGAAAGGCAAGATGAAATTGTGGCATCATCTGGATACCATGTCTCATCAAAGTCTGGTCACCAGATGTGAAGAAACTGATTCTCATCCAGAAACAGTTCCACTGTGGGAGCTGACATTAACCTGTAGTGTCCCTCACAGCCTCATTAACGGGAACTTGCGCCTAACTAGTTCTTTCCACTCTTGCCCTCCCTGTCGCCTTAATATCTGGAGGAAGAATATGTTTTCAGACACCTGGGGAAGTCTTGCCCTGAGCACCCAGGGAAATACCTGCTATTGCCTGATACCCCAGACATGGGAATGGCCTGAAAAACTGTCATGCCAACAAGTTGAGTGACCCTGGCTGGGAGCTGCATGAGCCTTCTCTACAGTGAACTCTAAAGCTTTTGCTTTTTGGACAGTACTGGGGATTGAACTCAGGGCCTTGTTCTTGCTAAGCAGGTGCTCTGCCACTTGAGCCATACCTCCAGTCCTCTTTAAAGCTTTTGTACAAGTGACCATGGGGACTGTTCCAGGTTCCTGTGGAGGCTTCAGCTGGAGAGAAGCATCTCTCCTTCCTCCAAGTCCAGAGCCCATCCCCAGCAGGTTCGGCTGCAGTCAGAAGCTCTGGAGCTCACGGACTGAGTTCCAGCCTCCTCACTAATTATCTGGGTTCTCTGGGTAAATCGCCTTCTATGGGCCTCAGTTTTCTCCTGCGTCAAATAGGCTAAATAAGCCGAATGTTCGGAAGATTGAAGTGATACATGTAAAAGGCCTAGCGCATAGTAGGAACTCAGGGCTGGTGTTTTCCCTTTTTCCTTGCTTTGAACTGGAAGTAATGCATCGGGAAAGAAGAGAGCTGCTGCAAAACGAGGTCAAGTCAAAAGGATGTCAAAGCCCTCTGCCTCTCAACACTTCTCAATGACAGGCGTCCCCTGTCCCCCAACACTTCTCCCAAGTGCTGCTGTTTCACTGTTGTCCGCCAGGGGGAGAAAAGGCGCAGGTTCCCTGGCAGGCCGCCCTCGCTTGCGCGTTCACAGACCCGTGAGAGCGCGTGGCCGTGCGCGCCCACGAGTCTCCTGGGCGCGCGCTCACAGGGCGGGCGTGGCGCGGTTGCGCTGCCGAGCTCGGTCACTGCGGCTGGGCTTAGGGTTGGGTGAGAAACTGGGGACTGGACAAGTCTTCTCAAGGCCTTCCCTTTTATCTTCGTTTTCCAGAAGGAAGACCTGGTGCCCTTCAGAGTCAGCATTTTTTTCCCTTCATGGGGTCTCTTGAGTACCAGTGAAGACAGCACCTTCTGCCATAAATAGGGACCTTGCCAAGGGAGTCCGGCATCCTTATTGTAAACGATGCCTCCTTAACTAGAGGACATTGTAGGTTGGGGTTTGTCTTGTGTGAAAGTTAACAAAAGCAAGAGGATGAAAATTTAAGTAAACCGGTCTCCCTCTTCCCCAAAACTATCCACTGCTAGTTCTTGAAAATAGATCCTAAAATGTTTGTTCCACAAGTATTTACTGAACACCAGCTTCTGAATGGTCTGTGAGCTAAGAATGGGTTTTACATTTTTAAATAGTTGGGGGAAAAAAAATCAGAATAATAATACTATTTTGTAGCATGTGAAAATTACATGGGACCCAAGTTTCCATGTGGAAACACAGCCATGCCCCTTCCTTTGTTTCTATGGTTGCCTTCCTTCTCAAGGGCAGAATAGAATGGATGTGTTAGAGACCATATGGCCCTCAAAGCCGTATTTATTGTCTGCCATTTACTGAAAGAATTTGCTGACCCCTGGTCTGTCTCCTTCACTAGGATGTAGGGCTTACTGAGAGGAGGCATCTTGTCTATTTTACTACCAACCCTATTTTCCGTGATCATCTGACCACATAGCAGGTACTCAG